ACGGAGCTAGTAAGGTTTCCTCGTCCAAACAGACCTTTTCAAGTTCGGGTGGTAACACCTTTCAAGGTGAGAAAATTAGGGTTTCTTACCCAATAGATCACGGAAGTCTTCGGAGTAGTGGTAGTATCTTTCGGTGGTTTAAGTTGGAGAAAGACCCAAGAATGATGGGAATTTGATCGACTGTAAGTTATCTTTCTCTGTGGAGTACATGTGGCAGTGGACTCTCTTATTAAAACAGAATTAGCCTTTATCACGTCAGATAGGATCTCTGAATTGCCTAGTTTGCGTGAAAAAAGGTCACATTCATTTTGAAAATGTCATTTGGTATCCTAAGTAGGCAGAAGAAAAAATCGTTACTTTGGAATAAAGAAATTAAGTTTGAGCAGTGACCAGCTAGTACTAGTTATGTATGGCTTCCTAGCTCAATAAATCGAGCACTGCACCTTTACAGGATAGTAAGACCCTGATGATAACCTTAAATTTTTAAAGAGATGATTTCCTAATTTCACAGCTGATTGGTCTCTCGTTTGATGTAAACACGCAGTGTAAGAATAATCCTTTCCATTTTACTTTAATGATGAAAACTACAGCATTGTCTGAATCAATAACTTCGATATCTTTTTGTTGCTTCTAGACGAAATAGACGTATCAAGGCGCCATGATTTACCGTCTCCGTTCTCACATCGAGGTGGGCGTAAAGGAACAATTAATTTTGATTGCTAGTGTTATTGCTGCTAATATAACAGTAGACAAAAAATGTTTCGTTCCAAATATTTTAATATTTTTGCTTCATTGTCACAATCTGTATTTCTCTTTTTTATAGTGAAAAATCGTCAGCGAGGATATTACAAATTATTTACCACTTCAACTGTGTTTTCTACTGTGTAAAAAAATTGTGGTTCTTTTAATTTCACGATTTGAGTTTCATCTTTTTATCCCAAAGCAACGAAACTTGGAATCGTAGTTTCTTCTCATAACTGTACAATTTCACGAGTCGTTGCAGCGTACATATGGAGGAGACAGAGACAAGCTTTGGGTGTGAATCAAACAACTGAATTAGAGTTTAAAATACAAAATCCGACGTTTCATTTTAGACCTAAGGTTTATTTCTATTTGCTCTGTATTATTTTCTGTTCTTTAGTGCTTTGTTATTTTGTCTGTGCGACCAAAAATTGGATGCCCCAAGTGTGCACATATTTCTTAACAGGAGTTCTTATCGTTTAACTTTTCTATCTTTCAGGCAGTTTAACAAGTCACGTTACTTCCCCTTGGCCACAAGAGTCTCATCACTCCCCTGTCGTTGGCCAGTTGATAGACTTTGATTAGAATTATTTTCCAATAAGCACGGAAATTGATTACTTCTGGTTTCACGATAGTGCAGCTTCTTTTCACAGAATAGTAGCCATAGACTGAAGTTTTTCCGAACTGTTATATTTTTAATCGTGTGAAATGAAACAATAAATCTTTAAGAAACATCACGAAATAGAACATGATTCCAGCAGACAAATAGCTGCACTAGACTTGTGATGGACAGAAAGATGAATTTAAGTGTTGAAACTTAGTGTGGTTTATTGTCTCTATCTAGTCATTTTCCCTACAAATAATTGTGATATTATACGTTTTGAGCAGTAGGCAAGTTGGTAGATATCGGGTGCCATCTCGTTCTCAAACACCTCTTAATTGAGATTCTTCATAGAGTCCTATATCGTAACGGAGAGAGTATATATTGCTACTAAAAGGGCACGCGTGGAAACGCTTGGTTAAATACCGCAAAAATTCACTTCCCACACAAAGCTTTGGGCCTATAAGGGTACCCTATTTAAATCGCTAAAAAGATAATGTTCCTTGTTCAAGGCTCAGTACTTTGAGCTTTGGAAATGAGAGGGTCAAGAGGGTTTGTGAGGCTGACATGTGTTCATCGTTGATTACGTTTTACTTGCTTGAAAGAATTTTTACTAAAGGATGGGAGAGAGAGGCTGCCTCTGCACGTAGTTTATTGCGACCACGTAGTCGAGAAATTCTAGTTTCGATTTCAGGTCAAGGAACCTTTTCTTTTTTGTCACAACAGTCTTACTTTCTTTAGTCCCCGCTGTAAAACATGCTGACAAACACTGAAGTCCTCATACATCTATACCCAATTTGAATGTTCTTAAGTCAGTAGTACTTCATGGAGCGCTGGCGTATCAACTAAATATTTCTTGCGCGATGATGATGTAAATGACGATGATAAAGCATGGTGATGATATTTTCAATGAATGACGCAGGCATGAGTTTGGTTTTGACCTAGCTGCAAGAGAAAAGAACCCTTTGTCTGTCCTTACAGAGTTATTTAACCAATTAACACATAGAGATTCTTGAAAAATACGTCTTTATTGACATTTTCTGTTCAGCTAAGAGTCCAAACTACTCAAAATGAAACATGAGAGTATGCCTTTCTTTGCACTAGCATCCTGTTTTGCGACATAATCCAAAATTATCTACCGCTCCCCTCCCTTTATTCTTGTGGTCCACCCCTAAGCATCTGATATATCTATTTATTATCAAAGACTGTGCGATTGTTACCTCACATCACTGTTAATTTGGCACTCATAGGTGACGTCCAAACCTAACTGATAACATTCGCGATTAAAGAACGTGAACTAAAACAAGAAACTACAGAAACTTGTAATATCATTCGAATGATCTACCGAAGAGGATCTTCTCTAACTAATGTAAATGACCAAACCATCGAAACAAATCGTAATTTATTCACCAAGGGGACCGCCCCCCTGAATGAGCACTGGGATTGGTCGAGCCTGTACCAGATCGCTTAAGGGACATGTTATATCGCGCGGCCTCGATCTAGTTGTTGTTGTAGGAGATGCAGAGCCAAAAAAAACTTCCCAAATTCATTTAAATTTGTATGTTTGAAAACCTTTCTTCTTTCCATGATGGGTCGAGGTGATCATTAATATCAGTGTGGAAATGTGAAAATGACCGTAGACATCCCACAAGGTACAAAATTTTAACGAAAAACTTTTTAATTTCAATTCGTGGGTTCGTGCAGAAGTCTGTAATAAGTTGTTACACCTTCCGTTCCACTCGGGCTAGATCGTTTTTAAATGTTGAAAAGAGTATATGTTTGCAACCTTATTTCGTTCTATGATGCTACAATAACCGAAGATATCCTGTAAGTTACGTGAATTGAAGAAAATCTTTTACATATATTTCGCGGTAAAACGTTTTGTTCATAACATCGTTAGCTTCCATGACAATTGTGATATCCAACCCCGCCTGTTTTTCTCTTCTTTGCCCAATTTTCAATGGAAATCAGTTGATAGCTTTACTCCTATGGTTTTTTCCAGAAATAAACATTTAAGATGTCAATAAGCAGATTTGTCGGGATTATCAGATAATCGCGTGCTACCAAAGCAAGAGAATTATGAACCCATGAGAACGCAAACTGTATAATATATTCTCTTGACCTAAATTTATTAATAAAATGTAAGGGAAAATGAGCAAGAAATATTTCTTTATTCAAAAAAGTGCTAAGATAGACCTCTCAGAAGCAAAAAACGAACGAATTTCTTGCATTTACGAGACCCAGTTGAATATTCATCCGGCGTTGATTACATAAGTTCACGGCCATAAAATCGCGTAGCGTTGTATTGAAAATTCTGAAAGTTAAGTTATTTAAGGAAAAATTCTTGGATTGAACAATGCCTTAAGAAAATATCAAGACTCTTTTGGTAAAACAAAAGATCGTTAGGCTAGCAAGAAGCCTCGATGGTGTTTCGAGGTGTGCGATGATGAACGTGCATGTTACTCTAAACAAAAATTTGAATGATTAGAGTCTGACGCCTCTGTAATTAATAAAGGGGTAAGTTTCTAGAGAAACTGTGGTGCTGCGTCGGTGGGAGAGTATGGCAGGTAATTTAGTGTTAACAACTGAGTTGAAAACGTAAATTAGCCACCGTAAAGGGTAAAAAAGCTGACGTTTCGAGCGTTAGCCCTTCGTGAGCGATAGACGAAACGTCAGCTTTTTTACCCTTTACGGTGGCTAATTTACGTTTTCAACTCAGTTGTTAACACTAAATTACCTGCCTATGCAATTAGTTTGCTTTAGCCTATTTCTATTACTACATGTCTTTCAAACTCTCCATTTGTTCTGTAAGGATAGATTCCCTAAACTAGTTGGTTACTGGCATTCGGGTGACGCCAAGTTGCAAGTGACGTTGCTTCACATCTCGGATCAGGTAAGTTTATCTTTGTCCCGCTTAGCCCACTTACCCCGAGACTTCGCAAGGTTCCTCGATGGAAAATTTTATACAAACACTTGCGCAACGACAAATATCGACCGACTGTCAACCGATATATCGGTCGAGTATCGACCGACTCTCGACCGATATATTGACCGCTATATCGGTCGCATGTACCTGTAGTAAACATGATCCAATATTTCTTGGTAGCAAGAAAGCTCTTGTAACCAGCCATCTACCATTAATGATAATAATGATTTGCCTGGTATGAAAACTCGCGGTTATATTCATAGAGAGACCTCAACTTTTAAAAAAAAAAAAGATATAAAAACAAGGAAAGGAAAAGAAGAAAGATGGAAAAAAGGGAACCTAAGGCTAAATGGACATCAATTTTAAGTAATGATATATACATTTATGATATAGTTCTGTACGAGTCCGCAAATGATCCCAGGACCGCAATTCGCACTTTCCCAATAAATACACCCATGCTAAAATCGAATTTCAATTGTTTGATATCACACGCAGAAAGATTCTTGAGGACATTAGAATTTAAGAGTAATGAAGCCGACTAAACAAAACCATTCTGCCTGTAGTGGGACTTAAAACGGCTTACATTATGCAGATTATCATTTAAGACGTCGAGTACTTCAAAATGACTGTCGTTGGTTGTCGGTTGTGTCAGGTAGCAAGTTCGAGGCGGAAATTTGTTGCGTAATGATTAACATATAAAATACCCATACTCCAACACGAGCATTATTACAAATCAAAATGGCGGACTGGGGTGAGTTCTCTCTCGCACATGTACAATTTACTTTGCCTTAATTTAGTTTTTATCTTATTTGTAAAATTAATTTTAAACTGTCCAGATGACGAGGATTTCGAGCCACAAGACTTTTCCGTAAAACAATCGGACAAATGGGAAGGGGAGGACGAAGAAGATCAGGATGTTAAGGTAACAATTTATCTTCGTAATTTACAAAACGTGGAATTCAGTTTGTTTATTCCTTAGATCGGCATCAAAGGTTGATTTATTTGGGAAACGTTTTGTTTATAGGAAAACTGGTTTGATGAAGAAGAGGATTCAGAAAAGAAATCGGAGCCATCCGAAAATCAAACTGGTAACTGATAGATCGGGTTATGAAACATCTATCCTGATGCTTCACAATTCCAAATTTTAATTTTGCGAATTATTGCACGGCTTCTTTCACTAACAATGTCTACAAGCTTTTTATTCCCTATCCAAATTATTCTCTTTCCTGAAATCGATTATAAACATCATTAAGTGTTCGAAATAAGATTAATCCTACTATTCTTCGCTGTTCATTTGAGTACAGTATCATTGTAATTTACTGTAAATGAAACCCAATACCCCTTAACAAACATAGCCTCAAGGTTACCTCGAAAATTCTTCGTTTAAATCAACCTTTCTTTTCATCTCGTGGAAAGAAAGAAGATGGTCTTACCATCTCTTAAAAAAATCGGGTTTTCTTTTTCACAGTTAGGGAAACATTGCTTATTATCAAACAAGTTGAACATGTCTCAGTATTGAACTATGTTCGGTGTAAAATTTTGTTTGTTTGTTATTATTCTGTATTTATATGTCTGGTATAACACGTATCTGTGTTATTTAAATTTCACAATTTCAAAGTCACAAAGCACTTGATCCTGGCTTAGCTTGGCCCTGTAGTTTTCTTATCCTACATTGTACTATTTGACCATTTGCTAAGGTATATTATGTCCTGTTAATTTTTGGTCATGTCATGAAATCGCATAGATACCTGTGTTGTTTGTCCTGTGAATTATATAATTTTGTTGTCAATTTGATAGAAGCAGCTCCTCAAGCTAAAGTAAAGAAAAGAAAAACAATTAAACAGGCTATACAAGATAAGGAGGACAAGGCCAAGGAAAGAGCTCTAAAGAAACAGGAGGAGAATCAATCAGCACAAGAGGTGAAAAAATATTGCAGTGCATTTGTAGCAATTATTATGGCTCCTTTGAGTAATGTCTTTGATTTTGCCCATTGCTCTCACAGAAAGAATTAACAGAAGAAGAACAACTTGCAGAAAAGCTTAGAAGACAGAAGTAAGTAATATTTTAAACATCCCAGAGACCAAAAGGTGCTAATGTTGGTGTATTGATATTTTGCTCTCTTGTGAACACATACATTAGGGAAGAACACTCAAAAAAATTAACAATCAAATTTTAAGGCTTTTGTGAATTAACCAGTCTAGTTACTGCCAGTCAGTGGAAAGCAAAAGTGCTATTGCTAGGTGAATTTTGTGACTTTTTTGCCAAAACTTTGCTCAGTTTCCTATATTTAGTTGACTTAAATTTATAGTTTTAAAGAGATGTAAGAAATGGCAATTCTTCTTATTTTGCAAATTTGGCATGAAGCCATTGTTTCAAATAATTTCAAGTCAGATTGTTACAATCATATGCAGCAACTTGTAAGCAGTATCACTGACGGGCTTTGTTTGCTTGTGTCTTTTTCAGATTGGTAGAAGATGCAGATTTAGAATTAGCTAAACAAGCTTTTGGTGAGGTTCTATATAAACAGACTGTTTCTACACTTTTAAACAAACTTATTTTCATTGCCAGAAAATAATAATTCAAATTTTTAAAATTTTTTTTATTTGAGTCCTTCACCATAAATGTCAATAGTGTTTAAAGTTGACCTTATCTTTGAGAATCACCAAAACAGTGACAACACTGTGTGAAACTAGGAAATGTTGGTTTATACATGTACTTAATAACAACTCAGCTCATCAGCTTCTCACTCGTTTACCCCAAACGAAGCAATCATAGATGAGTTATGACAAGTTTATGACCCTCATCCAAATATACATTGGAGTGTTTTGTTACTGAGTTAGCTAGCAATTTTTATTATTAGAAGTGTTGTTATTATTTCCTGAAGTTTAGGGAAAAATTACTGAATGAAATAACTTTGTTCTTCATTTCTCCAGGTGTGAAAGATGATATAGGATCCAAAAGTATAGATGACATGAAACCTTCAACTAAAGAAGAGTTTGTAGAACTGTCCCAATTACTTGTAGGAAAATTATCCAATTATGAGGTATGAGTCACATATTTGTTAATTGTATCACTCACTTTGGTATATAATTGAAACCTCTGCCATTTTATGACAAAACATTGCTGGCACCTTGTACATTTCTTGAAAGAGGTAGCACTGTTCCTTGTTGGATTTTTATAAGAACTGTTAGCACTTAATTTATCAGGGTTTGGTATCGTGATAAAAAATAGTTTTTGTATGCCACCAACACAGAGTTGGTGCTTGTCAGATTTCAAACATCCTGGTCCTTTTTACTTCAGAGTATCAAATAAGTGAGTGTGAACCCAGTTGTGAAGACTTTCCTTTCCTTAAAATCTGATAAATGTTATTTCAGTAGACTCTAGCATTCTTTGTTAATACTTTAAGTTTTCTTGTGGCCTTTTTTGTCTTAAAAGTGAGAAATTATGAAAGTAGTTTGATTAACTCTTTATTCAATTTTTTGTTTTCAAGTCCAATGCAGAATATGTCCCTTTCTTGGAAATGCTTTTTAGAGATTTATGTGCAAGCTGTAAGTATTCCTTGGGATAAAAACAAATAGATGAAATAAGAAAAACATTTGCATACTTCAAATCCTGGTCACCATTAACAGGCCCTTAGCCTCGACAAAAAATAGGGTGAGGCTAAGAGGATCTTATACTCTTTACCTCCTGTAGGAGGCTAAACAAGTTCTCTATTTGTAAACAAGGAAACTCCTTCATAGATATAGAATGAAAATGTTTGTCTAAGAATCTGCGAAAAATTGCCAATAAATAACACTAGAGGATATAAATAATTAGGAAATTAAATTGACTTTTGGTGAATAATTGTTATGTAGATGTAAATGTGATTTGTGGTCATCATTATTCATTGTTAGTACTATGAACAGTCTTTGTAGGCACTATGATGTTTTACATGTCTTGTGCTGCTCATTTTTTTCAGTGGATGCTGAAGATGTTAAACGAATAGGTAGCACAATAAATGTCCTCTCATCAGAAAAATTAAAAGCACAGAAGGCAAGTCACAGATCTCTTTTTATACCATTAGGACTTCAGCATTCTCAGAAAGTTTTTTTTTTAATTAGGTTTGAGAACTGAAGCTTTATTATGTGGGTTGTTATTAAATGTTACCTTGCTTGCACACATTATTGTGTATTTTATGGATTACTGTATAATAGTAAAACACAAAGGTAGGGTTCAGTTGACCTTAGGATAACACTGAGCACATGAACATTCATGTATATCACAAGTAGTAATAAATATTCTTTGAATACTCCACCCTCAGTGGTTATTTCAATGTTTGTTGTGTCACATTCAGCTTTCTCTCGAAGCATAAATTAACAGTATTATTCTCTAGAATAATTTTTTCTTCTCTGGTTCAAGGTCTCACAATTTTAAATACATCAAGTGCAAAATATCTACAAGAAAAAATCACCTGTGTATTTAAGCGTAATCCTCTCCTGTCAGGGAGGAGTGAAAACAGGACACAACTAATTGGAATGAATGAAGCTTACAATAGTATTGTCCTGAATCTGTAGTATCACTGCATTGTGAAATTAGGGACCAGAATAATCTTATCATCACCTATTTGATATTTTTTACAGGCAAAGAAAGGGAAAAAGGCTGTTAAGAAAGCCACTCTCTCAGGAGCTAGTGCCAAGGCTGGCAGAAAAGAGGACTTGGATGCATTTGGTGGTGGAAATTATGATTATGGAGATGAATTTGATGACTTCATGTGAAAGTGACAGCAAATGAACATGCAAGATTCTGTAAACACAACATCACCAATCCACCCTCAAACTCTTAACAAGAAGTTATTTGAATTCACTTTGGTTGGAACCTCAATAGCGTAAATAATAATTTGGCAGATAATAAAGTTTGCCTCTTCTTTGCATCTTAACATTTAAAAGTGAGATGCAAACATCCAAGGCAGTCATGTTTTGTTGGTTTAAGTCCTTCCAACCAAGCCAGCCCAACCATATTCTGTGTCCTATAAATCAAGGCAAAAAATTTAAAGATTAATAATAACTTTGTCCTAGTAAGTAGAACTGCAATACATTGTTGTACTTGTTTCTCAGATGGCAAGAAAAATGCACATTTAAAAAAAACCAATAATATATGTTTGTCCTTTGTGTAATAAAAGCACTGCCATTGAAAGTGTATACGCATAATTGCAATGATACTTGAGGCAAAAACTTTTTTTCTTTTAATATGCTCTAAAAACAATTCTTAAAAGGACCTCATACATTATGAACACTGTAAACAAGAATTGATCAGAACTAATGGACAATTCAGAATGTCTCTAAATCTATTACCTGAATGCTTTCTTTTCTTATTTAGTACAAGAGAGTTGTGTATTTCTTTCCTGAAAATTAGATTGTGGAATAAAAACAATAGAAACCATGAAAGAATCTTTCCTCAGTTGTCTGTCTTTCAATTGTAAAAGCTTAGGAAAAGTCTTTTTTTTGTCTTCAGATTAAATGTTTATCTTTTAATTTATTCTATGTTAATCTTTTAATTTATTCTATTGTTTGAGTTCAATAGAACTTTCTCAATTTTTCATCACTGTGTAATTTTTACTTTACAGTAGCTTGATCATGCTAGATGAAATAAAAAAACCTTTAATTATTTAGTTTTCTATTAAACAAAAGAAAGAAGTACTGAAATGTATGTGAAAGAATTGGGATAACACCTTTGCGTGCATTGTAAAGTTTTTAGGTGTAGGATAAGGTGTTCAAAGTGGAGTCCTAATCTTTCCTTTACTTTACCATGATCCATAAGTGAAACTTCGGGAGCCGGTAGGTTCTCAAGTGATGTATCAAAATCTATCGGCGTTGTTTCGATATAACAAAACTTGATCTCTACTGTCGTCCTGTTTTAATTATTCACAATTTATCTCCTCGCTTCCCTCTCCACATACGGGATTACAAATCACAATGTGGTGTCGGGGGTTGGGTCAAAGGCCAAGTGGGGTGGCCAGGGTTCAATTTTTCTGAGCGCTATGACCAGTCGAAAGAAACTAGTTTCCGCTGTAGTGGGAGGGTAGAGAGAGAGAGAGAGAGGTCCATTTCAGTCCCGTCAAATGCAGCTCAACACCCAAAAGACTAACTGAAATAGCTTAAAATTGGTTTATCCAAAATGTTCCCAATGCAAAAATTCAATGTTTGTAATTTTTGATACAAAGTAAATGACCAAACTTTATTGATAATGTGGTAATAAGAACAGGTATAGGTCACAACGTGTCCGTTGTCACACCTGGGATTTTAGTTAAATTTGAAAATATGTCTGTAAATAGTCGACAAAAGATGTAGTTAAGAGCCAATGGTCTACTATAACTCCAAACGTTCGCTAATAGATGGAGACCGAGGGAAAATGTCGGGAAGTAAGATGATCAGTTCCTTTCACGGATACGGCTGAACTGTGTTCCTGCAATCTTTCCCTTCTTTACCTTTTAGGAAAAGCGGGACGACCAACATTTGAAATTTCATCATTTTCCCCTTTTTATACTCGAATAACCCATTTGTATGTTATTACAGTTAAACCGTCGTGCTCAGTAATCTCAATCGCATCGTACACAAAGATTTTCCTCACTCTCATTGCTATTCACTAGCTTAGTTTTAAAAAATTACTTTAAAAATTGGTAAAAAGGAAAATGTTTTACCACATTCCTGATATAACTGTTGATCCCTGGTACAGTAGGTAAAGGGGATAACGTTCATTATTTTTCATACCAAGACTTCTACATTATTTTGAGTCCTTGAAACAGTGAAGCGTATTCTATCTCCCCTTGTTCAGATTTCTGACGGTTTGACTACTTACTCTTGTCAAGCTGTCTGAATTTAAAGACAAAATTCAAAATGGCTAAGAGCGCATATACAGATAACCATTTATTCAGGCGTTGTATGAAATTTCCTCATACAGATATTCTTGAAAAGGTAAATCTTCGAACCCTTTTGGAGCACATAAATATCTCTTGACACGTTGCTCCTTCCTAGTGCAACATATTATCGGACACTTGACTTTTTCAGTGCTATCTTTTAGTATGAATTTTCTTAGACACAATAGTTAACCGAAGTGTTAAACGCATTACATCCTAAATTGAAGAATTGGGTGTATCCAAGAGAGGATATTTAGTATTTACATAAACAGCGCAATCGTATCCTAGAGTAAAGAGCGAAGTATTGCTCACTTATCTCCTGGCTTGCCGACGAAAAAGTTGTGTAACAGAAAAAAGGTGCAAGCAGTGTGTTACACTTTTGCTTTAAATTCCACCTTCGCTTGACGTCAGTGGACAAGCCGATGAGACATAAGAAAACTGCGCTAAATCTGCAAAATGTAAAGTATTTCCGTCCACAGTAAACTTCTTGAGGCAGCCTTTGAATCCCGTGAAAACTGAAGGATATCCTCCCAACTGATCAGCTGTAGTTTAAAAACAGAAAAAAACTAACATTATTGTCTGTGGCATTCAACATATCGTAATGTGATAAATAGGGTTGCCGCGGTCAGGGAAAAGTCAATATCAAACTTCCAAAGTCGAGAAATTTTGTCCCAATGTTTCATAGAGAAAAAGTGCAATTTTTACCTATATGTCTCAAAGTTAACTTGGTAACTCTGGTCGTGTTTCACTTAGCGTGTATATTGATCCTTTCGGTCCTGTGTTACACAGAAATTGAACCTCACTAAAGAATAAACCTAATGGGTGCTTTAATACCGAAAAAATACAAACCATGATTATATTTAATTCTGGGTTGGCGCTTCAATAGTTAGACAAAAGGGCATCAGCTATTTAACTAGTATTCAATTGTTAGGATTTTTCTGTTTGATTTTTATGTCTGATTTTTCAATGATTTAATTTTTCGCAGAAGGCTGCTTGAGGACGTGCTCGAGCTTTGGATACTGCAGAGGAATAATCGAAAGGAGCAGTAGACAAAGAGCTGGTTGCTTGCAAGTCGAGGAAGCGCAGACTTTTTTCCCGTTTTCGCTCACAATCCCCCTAACATTAAGAATGAAATTTAACCTGGATATCCGCCAAGAAATAGATGCCCGGTCATGTTGGTGCCATATCGAACCGGCTTGGTGACGGAATGGACGTCATCTAAGGCGACGGTTAGATTAGATCCCTGCTTGGTAACTCTAACCGTGTGCCAATTCATTTGGCACATCATGTAAGACGATTGGGTATCATTTCCAAGTCCAGGTTCGGTCCAAACAATTTGTGATTCGTTTGTCGTGGTGTTGTAAGTCAGAATCATCTAAGTTTATAAGGACAAGGAAATCATCACTCTATTACAGATATGTGAGTTTAACTTTTACTTTAGGTTAACTGTGGGCTCAAAGATTACGAAGGAAAACTTATTCAGGTCTATCATACCATCACATCTATTCCCGAATCCATAGCCCTTCCCCGCCAAATCGATTTCTATCTTTTAAGTATTCATGATTTCAATGATAAATTAAAACTCTAATCACTTCACGTACCTTACCACTCTTTTGTTCCAGACGGATGTGCATTCTGTTTCCCGCTGATGAAGAAGACCAAAAATGAATAAACAGATAATTAAATAAAAGCAAAGAAAGCTTTGTCAAATCGAGACATGACTCGAAAGACTCAAATTTACATCTATTGCATTTACCATCGACTATCGAAATCTAATTTCGAAGGCGTCAGTCATTCTTGCTAAGTTTTACAGTTCATTTGTACTAACTCAAAACAAGTCCTTATCAGTATTCCTTTTATCTAAAACCCCATTGCTCATTCGTCCCTATGAAAATTGTCAAATTTGTTGAAAGATCACACAGCAACTAAACAAAGGGAAATCTTAAGTCACCCTTTGCTATGACCCTCGTGATGACAACTGGCACTAATAATCAAACTTGCTATTAATGTAGAGTGTGGTATTGGTATTAATATACCTCAAATGAAAAACATCCAATTGTTGCTCACAACCATGCGCGAAGTCACAGGCAGTTTTACTTAGGTGACGTCTTTAGAAGTGTAACATAAGTCATCTTTTACTTAGTATATACTTTCACGAATTTCAAATCATTCAAATCCTGTCTTTGTAGCACTAACTAACCTGTAGAATCAGGAGCACTTGTTATCATAAACAACAATCCGTCACGTGATGAGGTCCGGAAAGTCACCTGGACATTGAACTCTGCACTTAAATTGAAGTCATCTAAAAATCAATAAATTTTATGAGATTTGGCTTTTGTAACTCTCGAATAGAACTCCAGAAAATTACAAAGGTATTTTCCAGTATAATGTCATTCATTCTAGAGCATGTTGTTTTGTGATAAGTTTCGGCAAGTTGTAGTTTTCGTTCAGAAATTACGCGTGTAATTACTTTTGGAAGTATTCCAAACTATCTTGCCATTTAGAGTTCAGACAGAAACTGTCTTAAATTTGTCTAAATATATCGACTATTAAGATAGCACAGTATCACTTGCCAAATCTGGCCCAAGAGGAACCATTGAAACCGAGACCTGGCTGAGCCTTGTCGTAACACAGACCGCGAGTCTCGTTAGAGCCTCTACTATCAGGTTTGTTAAAATCGAACAAGGATTCACTGTTGGCAACATCGAAATCTTTCATACAGCCTGCAAACCCTAAGAACCTAAAATAACAACAAAAGTACACAGTAGATTATAACTAGTTTACTAAAAGATAGTTATGATTATCAAATGATGTACGAAAGTTCTTTAGTTAATTGTCTATTATCGGGCAGTCTGCATGGTCATCACTACAGAACCATGTTCATTAAATTTAGCATTGACATCACTAATTTACGTTCTTCAAGAAGTATACCGTTTGTAATCATACATGAATTCGAGAATACAGCTGATTTAGTTAAAAACCACTATTTGCTTGTCACTTAAAATTTTCCTTGTGAAAAAATTTATAAAGAATTCAATCCATGTTACTCTATCTTCATGAAGCGACATAACGTTTGTAATCATATTGGAAATCGAAAGCAAAAATTATTTTGTCGAGATTTAGTCAAGGGCCGCTATCTGCTTGTCACTTAAAACTCTCCTTGTGGACAAATTTTTAGAGAATTCAATCCACTTTACTGTATCCTAATGAACAACATGCCTGTTGGTGACTGTTGGAGCAACCACGTAACTGGGTAGTCCACCAATATACAAGTGGCGTAGATTCATCGAAAGACTGGGCGGGTCGTGTCTTCCATTCACATAATCCATAGTACTTGTTAGCATAGCACCAAAATGAAACAGGCGGAGAATATGAACCTGATATTATGTCAGTCAATTTAATGAGATTAGACTTATAGATAATGGTTGATATGTTGATATTGAGCCTAATGAATTGAACAGACCAAGAAAGGATTGAGGAAATTAGTGAGACAATTGCCTGTTAACCTTCATTACTGTCATCCTAATGCCTGTGAACTCCGTAATCATTGACTCCACGATCTATACTTGAATAGTAAATAGCAATGTAATGAGATATTCTTACTGAAAACCATTGGCCGTTTCCAGAGTACTTTTCTTCACTGGTCATAGAAACCAGGCCTTTACCCGAGTTAAACTTGAAGACCAATTTTCCATGGACAAGTTCGAGTGAAAAGAACTGAGTCGGGTGTGTGTCATTGTCGGTGCCATATAATAATAGGCCGTCGTCTGATAAGGCTCGGAAGGATAATCCAACTACAAACCTGCAAAGCAAAGGAGCATTACACCACAAGTAACATTTGTTGCCGATATTTTGTATCTCTATTCGAATCTTTGAGTCTACACCATTGTGCGCATGTATTTGACCTTAGTTATTGGCAGTAAAAGGCATTTTAACAAACTTTTGGGAACATTAATTTATAGTCTTTCACAGCACTTTCTCTTACATTGGGGCAGTGCAATTTCCTCTCCTGGATTAATAGAATTGCATAAGGCACAAAAAACGTATAATCGATCCTCTATGTAGTTTATGTAATTTGTGTTTTCGATCGGGGAAAGTATTACAATGTCAAAGTGTAATGTCTTCAGCCTACTGATTAATGAAATAAACCATCTCAATAGATAGGTATTTACCTGGATTCGAACACTATGCTTTGAATTTCGTTCAAATTGAATCCAATGAAGCCTTTTCCTCTGCTTTCTTGAAGATCGAAATGCAATGCTCCACTACTACTGGACGAAACGGGTGGAGGAAGGGAAGCACTGCAGGACGGAGGGATGGGTGGAGGTACAAAGGCTGGCACCACTCCCGCCTTTGATACACCCACAGTATGTTCAGATAAGAAATCTATTAAGCTAACCAAAAAATAGTAAATAAATAAGGACAAATTTCATAGCGCTCATACGTCTTATATCGATTTCAGTAACTAATTCTAGATTTCATTTGGAGAGTAAGGTGTAGGCTTGCAATCAGAATTTAAAAATGACCTCTTCACCATATTTCATCAAAACAGAGGGTAAAAATTCTGACGACACATCAATTTGTAGCGCAGGACTTACGATAAAAGATAACGAAATTACCTGGAGTCAACGGTCAAATTCTTCATGCCACCCTTGAAACAGAGTGCGTAAGGAGTCTGGGATGACTTATTGGAAGGAATGCCACCCATATAAAATGGATCATGAAGAACCAATGATAAAGCAGCGAAGTTATAGACACCAGTGTAAACAAGAGTGTTATTCACGTAAAGTTCGTATCTGTTAAAACAAGAGAAACATCACAGCAGCTAACTTACTTGATAATGCAATTTTGTTTTTTCCAACCTTTCATAGGTGTTTGGAGGGTGGATCTCTAATCTTATGTCGTTCTTATCACGACTTATGAGCATTCGTAGTGAAGAAAAGTGCCTCCCCCTCATAACGAAGTTTATTCTTTGTTGCAGACTTGGAAATATAAACCGTAAAGGAAATAAGCCATTGGGGATTGTAAACTAATGACAGGCCTTGTACATTTTCGGTAAAAGTACAATAGTTGTGGCTTTACACATTGCTATATAACATAGAGAATTATTGCACCCACCCATTGTCCGTAAGCTGCAAAAGCACTGTGCGCCATGAATTGTCCGAGAAGGTGATATTTGACGAAGAGAAGACAGGAACTGATTCAATATCCCCTAACCAAAAGTATAAGTCTCCGTGTCGTAATGCCATGTACAGCGATGGTGCATCCTCCGTCTGAGTAAACGTTTAATAAAAAGAGAAGTAAAACTTTAAGCGTTTGATATATTCACTTTCTTGTAAACATCTTGATATAATTTGTAAAGTCTGAACTCCTCTTTTTATGGTGTCGACGAAGTAGATTCGGCCGGGTATAAGGAGTCACTCAACCATTTTTTTGTAGGTGTTTGACAAATTGTTTTGACGCACCTTTTAAAGGTTTGCAAACCAAATGGAGTGGTGTTTCAAAAATAAAAATCCTGAGTGAAATGAGAAATTCAATGCACTGGATAATTTTGAATGAGATTAAGATAAAGCAGTTATTTGATTCTCGCAGAAAATCAAATGGGAATGCAATGTTGCTCACGTTTTTTTCGCTGTAGAGAAGAACGCCACTTTCTTCCTTTGTCTTAAAGGTAAAGTGCAATGTCGAAAATGCTGCTTTTCCGCTGATGATATCAATAGTTGCATATGAACAGTCGCTTATTTCCTCTTCGAACCCGTAGAAACGTGTTCCATATTCTATCTGAAAAATTAATACCAAAAAGGTTAAGCAATTTAGGGACTTTGAAAAAAAAAATTTTGACGAGCCTGTTCCCATCAATCGTTTTATAAGTGATTAAGAACTGCATGAAGTTGACCCCTCGAGGGTCTGCTTTTCAACTTTTCCAAGTAAACAGGTGCGTCTCCGCCATCTGAGGTACTATTTCCTCAGTTTCTCATTTGAATGTGTGTATAGTTCATGTCAATTAACTCGTGATTCGAAAATGGAGAACGGTACCGTGCGAAATAGAGCACTCACCAACTGAAAAATTAGCGTTTGGTCTTAAAGAAACTTTTTTAAAACCAGCAGACAACCTAATCCGGCATGGCAAATCATTTTTTCTTTAGCTACTGGTTTCCCTCGCTCTTAGGAAACCACCTAATCGTAATACATACTATTCATGCCGGTGATTTCTTCCTTACAAGTTGAATATTTAATATTAAAAAACCATTTGTATCGGGGGTCATCTCATTCAGTAATCTTACCTCTCCTTTGATAACTCCTCTAAACGATAATCCTTGTTTTGAAAACATAAATGTTGGGTCGTTGAAGAGCCGCGGAATTAGGGATGAGGACACACTGCTGTACAACAGCAAGTTTTTCATGTCTCCAGAGAATACTTCGTTAGCTTCAAAGACAACGACACTAAAGAGAAGAAGATCACATTAGTTTACACTTTAAGCTCCTCACAGAGGGACATTGTCAGATGACGTGAGATGTGCTTATGTTTCAGACGTGCATGCGGATTTATTTCACATGTCAGTAAATATATGCAAAAAATAGTGAAGGAAGATGTTATTCTGAGAAATAGGAGACTCGTGGCAAACTAAGCCGTTTAAAAAATGTCCATGATCACAAGCTTACTGCATACTGCGAGGATGTAAATGTCGATATGTGATGGTTATGCGCAATGATGATGCAGACAAAGGTGGTAAATTTTAGGCCTAGCGATTTAAGAGAAGGAAGAAGTTATTCCGTGAATGACACAAACTTACGTCTTTCCGATTTGAGCTTTAGACGCTCTACCACTGAGCTCTGAGAGACTCGTTGCGAGTAAGTCGAGTAAGACCGTTTAGCTAAGCCCAAGGTGACATAATTCGTACCTACTGCAAGAGTAGGAATGTCGATATGTGATGCTTAGGCGCAATAACGATGTTAATGAAGATGATAAATTTTAAGCGTCGCGCTTTAGACGTAGGAAGACGGAATAACAAAAACAAATGACCTTCCAATTACTACTCGAGATGCTCTAGAACTAAGCTACGGGAGACTCGTGGCAAGAAGATCCGTTTAACTAAGTTTAAGGTGATGAATTTCCTGCATATTATAAGGTAGGAATGTCGATATTTGATGCCTATGCAGAAAGATGATGTAAATGAAGATGGTAAATTTTAAGGGTAGTGATTAAACTGAAAGGAGACCTGATTCAGTGAATGACAGAGGAAGACTCGCGAAAGAAAAACGCGAGTCCTGGTGCTCGAAACTGGACTCAGACCCTTCCATTAGTACTTGGACGCTTTATAACTAAGCTATGGGAGACTCGTAGCAAGACAGCCAATTTAACTTAGTCCAGGGTGATAAACGTTTTCCATACTTTGAGGACAGGAATGTCAATACGTGATGCTCAAACGCTATAACGATGAAAATGAAGATGGTGAATTTTAAGCGTGGTTATTAAAGTGAAGGAAGACGTCATTTAGTGAATGACAGGCGAAATCGGAATAAAAAAGTCTTCGTCTGTCTAACCTAAGACCGATTAGGACTTCGGACGTCCTACAGATAAGCTACGGGAGACTCGTGACAAGTAAGGCCATTAAGTAAGTCCATAGCGATAAATTCCCTACATCCCTTGAGGATAGGAATGTCGTTTGTGATGCACAAGTGCAATGATGGTGTAAATGAAGATAGTAGATTTTAAGCCTGGTAATCTAATTGATGGAAGGTGTTATTTAGTGAATTACACAGGGATACTTCGAGGGAAAAAAACTCTGAGGGCTCCCAGATAGGAGTCGAACCAACGGCCTTCCAACTAGTACTTCGGACGATCTACCACTGAATCATGGGAGACTCGTAGTAAGTACGGCCGTTTAACTATGTTCATTGCGACAAGCGTCTTGCATACTCCGAGGAGAGCAATTTTGCTATGTGATGCTTTTGCGCAGTGATGATGCAAATGAAGATGGTAATTTTAGAGCCTGGTGATTTTGGCGAAGGAAGATGTTATTCAGTGATTGACGCAGGCATGCTGGCAGAAAAATGTATGAAAGCACCCTTTAATACAGAGATCAGCTGGTGTTTTCTGTAAGAAACGCAAGACATTTTACTGTTAATGCATAATCACCAACGAATACTCGTTAAGTTCTCAGTACAAACCTGTTAGGGTTTAGAGCTCCGAAAGTGATTAGATGACTATCGGCCATTACCGTTTGACCGGTGTCGACAAAATGACTGTCAGATGTTTGAGCTGAGCCCACAGGATTTACAGTTAGCGTCGCATTTACGGAAGTGCGCATGATACGAACATGATACCAGCGCCCATCGCCGTATGAAGACCTGTGAATATACTTACAATGAGCTACCTTTGTTAGCTTTTAAAAAATGTCTAAGAGAGACGATTGTAAATACAATTGTCTGGGGAGTTCAGTTCGTTTGGCCCTGAAATTCGAACTCTCCTTATTTCTTTAATCCGGTGAGAGCCAGTTCTATAAAGTTAAAATCACAATATACAATACCTCACTTAGGGAGACCACTACAGAGAAATGCTAAATCAATGAATGTGTTTTTTTGTAGTATGATACGATAATTGGGGTGTCCTACTCACCCACTGCTTGTCATTGTAATTCCATCATTTTCCCCAAGTTCGAAAAAGTATTTAACTTGTCCATTATGAAGATAAAGAACAAGAACATATCTCTGTTCTTCACTGGATACAGCCATCATGATACCATTCTGATGCAGGGTTCTGAAGTCTAATTCTACAGATGCATACCCCGAGCTGACATTGAATTGCCCAACTGCATGTTGGAGGAAACCATTTCCATAAAAACTAACAGCTTTTCCATCGGCCGGATAGTAGATGGGTTTGTATCGTGGAACTGCGTACTTGACACCATCATGAGATTGTGCAGAGTTCCAGAGATTGTAGCGATAGTTGTCAATAACAAGATTATCGACCATGCCTCTGAAGTGATCCATCGGTAGAGATCCCTGAGGAATGGAACGGCATCAAATTTCATTAGGCTCGTGTTATTACATGTGAGAAGATTTCAGTTAAAATTAATCTAACGTTGTCTCTTGTCTAGAGAAAGGATGTGATTGATGATCGCATTTGCACAATTTTATTTGTAACAGCATGCAGTTATTAATATTGTGGCCATTCCGATATGGGGGCGGTATGAACTATTTTAAAGCCAGAGTGAAACTACCATCACGTTTGAAGGTACGCCTCCCAGGTAAATGATGCTTTCATTGCTAAATTGCAATGTCCTTCCATTAACTGATGAGCCATTTATGGAGATTGTCTCGCGAATCTGTCGGTCTGCGCTGACTGTTAAGAATGCCTCAGCTTCAAATCTGTTCAGAGGTAATTTGCAAAGTGTAATCACAATATGAAACGATAAAGCTTACCTAATAAAAGGTATATTTTTCGGAGACATCAATTGAAAAAATTTACATTCTAGAGATGAGAGAGTTGGCATTTTGCCAGTAAGTATGCTGACTAATGTTAATAAAGTTGTAAAGGGTAGCAGAATCTGGTGTAAAGACAAGGGATGTGAAAAGGAAAAGGGAGGTTGTTTCCTAATATGACTACAAGTACGATTGTATAGTCTGACCATCCAGGTAAGGGTAATACTGAGAAAGACTGTTCCCCGTTGTGGACAGTTTAACAGCGGACGCAGCACCAGAGACGGGTGTAGCACTAAGAAGCAGGTAGTAAGTAAATAGTAAGTGACAAGCATTCTGCACTGATATGAATCCTTTCGGTCAATTCCATGTTGATATCGCTGTTGACAAAATATGGTTAATATGAATAAATCACTTCTAGATGATTTCCACCTCTTCGGGTCCGTAAGTATGGTAGTTACGTGCTTACCTGGTGAAATACACGTTGTACCAGGTGTCATTTTTAAGTACCAAGGGATTCTGAGCCGTAATCGGTCCAGCACCGAGGTCATACACGACACTGATAGAACTGTTTGATATGAAGAAGGCGAGGCTTTTTGTCTAAATATAAATTAGGGAGCAGGAAGATGAACAAATGAATTACTGAATAAAACCAGCTGAACGAAAATTAAATTAAATAAAATTTCAAATTTGAAAAAAGGTTTTTTTGTTACCATTGATTCAATGTTCGCTACTATAAAAAAGAGACGGTTTTGACGTAACAATTTTTGTGAGAGTTAAACCAAGTAGACAAAAATTCTTATTCCTGACCAGCGGTAAACGAATCGTGTAGTGATCGTATCAGGCGCTCTTTTTCTCTCTTTACCCGCTGATTCCTGCGCTGTTACACTATCGCTTTCCCCTGTATAACTTTTGTATGTACCTTTTAATAATAGGGGAAAAAGTTTATGGTTTCTAGGGCACGATTCTCTGGGTTATATGTCCATAAACAACATTCTACAAGTCTTACCAGCCAATTAGAGCGTTCCGTGGTCTTTTCACGAGGCTCTGCTATCAGATACATCACAAGACCCTCGGTGACGTTAGTCTTGATATCAAACGAAATCTCGTTTTTCAAAGGATTTCCAATCGTTTGGGCAGATGGAACAAATTCTACCCAGCTATTGTTCATAATGAGAAGGGCTAAAGGCAGCGAGGCGGCCATTCTTCTCACTTGATTAAGTTTGTCTGATACATTGGTCATTCGTGTTTCTACTTGACTTCGGATAGGCGAAAGTGAATCCATTGCTGTTTTGGCTTCTCTAACAGTAGCATTTACTTTCGGCTCATTTGGATTTGGTACAAGCTTTGCTGAGATATTTTGCACTGTAAAGGAACAAAGAAAACTTTCTCATGGGATGTTATGAAACTCAAGTTTTTTTTAATTTAAAAATTTGTCCTTTACGGCCTAAAAATGATGGTAGCCGCTTGAAGTTTACTGGAACAAAACTTTTTTATGGGACGTTATGAAACTTAAGTTTTTTCTTTCATCTAAAAATTTGCCCTTTACGGCTTAAAATCGATGATAGCCGCTTGAAGTTTACTTAAAACAAAATTACATCGTAAATCAAGCTGAACACGTCTGCAGTTTCAGCATCAGGTACTGTCCTAATTTTTTTTCGCAGTGATAGCTAAACACTTTACTTACCATTACTAAAGGCGTCATTAACCAACTTTATTCCGTCTTGAGATGATTCTTTAATAAACCACGTTTTATTTAACAAAGTCTCTATAAGCAAGCCCATTACATTCAGCTCATCCTCCAGTGTAGATAGAAATACACTTGCATTGGTCACTTTGTCTTGTGCTTGCATCAGAGGAGGTGAAACATCCGGAGCTTAAAGCAAAGAGTGATGAAAATAACGTCATTATCACCCCAACACTCCATGTTCGCAATTCACGCCACTTTGTTTCCCTACTTACCATTTTTTGCACATTTTAGTTAAGGTAATCTTTATGATACTCACATGAAATACTTCTATTTAACGTAATTTCGCAATGAATTGTAGAATTTCATTATATCATTTTCTTTATGTCCCCAAACTTTCTTACTGAAAGGCTTTATAAACGTTAAAAGTTAGCTTATTAAAGCATCCATAGAGCTCACCTTTCGCGGCGGCGATACGGAACTGGACGGCTGCATCCTGAATGGCGGGAAAATGCTTGTAAACGTCATTCCATACATCCAAGGAATTCAAGAATGTCAAATTTGCCTGATGAATCGCTTTTTCCAAGTCTTAAAAAGAGGAAATAATCTTTTAAGAATTTATTTTGATCGACATGTACGTAAAAGGAGAGCTACATGAAAATAGGGATCGCAAAGCTGTCAGTTTTTCAGACCGCTGTGGTTGTTTCTCCATGTAAGCTGGGATGCAGAACTTTTTTCATTCATTGTGAATTTATAAATCACATAACTGCATGTTCTCGGTTAAAGAGTTGCGGGCGGTAAAGACAAAGTGGTCCTATAAGCGAAGTGTGAATCTTCTTTTATCCCAGCAGAGCAAGTTAAAGTTGTGCCCGCATAAGATAATTCAGGGGACGTCTGTGTTTCTTAAGGGGAGTCTGCCTATATTTAACGAGCAAAATTGAGACGCTCAAGGTGAAAATGAAGTGTTTCTCGCTGATCTATTAGGAATGTTTGCAAATTATAGGCCATTATTCAGTGTATACGTTTTTTCGTTCATTTTTGGATTGGAGTTCTGAACCTTCTCCATCTTGTGAAAGGCGAAGTTAACTATTCACGCATAATTTAATAATTGTACCAGGTGACACACCCAGCTGAATGGTACAGACCCACTGAGGACAAATAGGGACCGCCGCCGCCTCCCTCCCCCACGGAGGGGGTTTGTATAAAATGTAAATAGACCTGGCGTTTCTTGGAACTAAGCGTTCACTTGAGAAAATATAGCATCTGTCGCAAGACTCACTTTGTATAGTAGCGTTTCGTTCTTCTGTAACGTTGTAAAGCTCATACCATCCTTGCCACGCTTTTTGTGCCCCGGTTTGAAGGTAAGCCAGAGAAAAAACGCTGAGCTTTAAACCAGAAATGGGAATTATGAATTTTATTACTTGAAATCATTAAAAACGTGGTATCCCTATGCAGCCATGTCATGCCGTCTATTTTAACAAATGGCTGACAACATATAACGGGTTGAAAACACGAAAGAAGAAATAACCGATAACACATGACAAAAAATGCGGTTCATCGACTAAGGACGAGTGTAAACGAAAGACCGTAACTTGCTGCATGAAAGTTTTTCGACCCTATACCCAAACTTTGACAATCTTTTAACGTTGATAGTAACTCCTCCTGCGGATCACTTTATGTCCCGGATTTCTCACTCGTTTACATCATAGTTCAAGGCATGGGTATATCATCATTAGATCTTTAAATTTGTATTTATAAAAGCGCAGTACATTCCATTATGTAACGTGCTTTAATCTTTAATTGTCAAACTCAACGTCACGCACCTGTTGGTCGAGGACGTGCACTGTGTTGTTTGCCTGTTCCACGAGACTTAAAGACCTGTTCACAAGCTTACTTATCTCAGAATATCTGTCGATCGCCGATAAAGCTTCAGCACCATGAGTCTGACTACGATTGAACGTTCTTCAAATAAGGAAAAAGACAAACTTTTTAGTACACTGACCAGGAATAACGGAAAATAAAGAGTTTTTAAGAAATAAAAGAATGAAGAAATGGTGCATTTGAAAGAAGGTTTCTAACCATTTAGAAGGTACTCGTCTAAAATTTTTCAATAAAATTGAAAACGAATGAAAAATTTCCTAATCATAGCTAATGTGGACAACCAAAATTGCTGACTTATTGCCCATTGTTATCCTGAATAAAAAATGCGACCAAAGAACAAGAAGCAGAATCGTCCCCCCCCCCAAAAAAAGCTTCATCGAGAATTTCGCGAGTGGGTGGTATTTGCTTCAATCTCTTCTTTGTACTGATGTAATTTGCACTCACTGATCCATTTGGTTAGCGAGTGACTGCAGATATGAGGCCTGGTTTTCAGCCTGATACAGTTTAACTTCGGCAGAAAACAGCTTCTGCTTGATGCTGTCAACTTCCATTTCCAGTAGGTTTGATACATCTGTTAGTCCACTCTGTGGAACAAAGTTCCCACTGCTTATTTCAGACAGGTCCTAGGATATAACACAAAATTAATCATTTTTTTGTGACATTTTCTCCCACACTATGGAACGTTTTACGAAGACCAAATTGCCCAAAATCAATTCTAAACAAAAATACTTGAACCGATCCTACTTGAACATGAATACAATCGCTTAGGGTATACTGAATAAGATACAAAACTGTTACTGATTTAAGACACTAAGAAAGAGCACGCCAATTTCTGGATAGAATGATAAAAATTATTTTTCGAGATTGAAAGTAAAGTACGGATCCTCAAAAGTTTTCAATTAAATTCTACAGCACTCAATAAATAAAGTCTTTATAAATTTGTAATAGGCATAATTTGCGTCAAAAATATAAGATTTTGAATGATAAGTAGTTGACACTATCAAGCAGCGCCATCCGGATCCCGTAAATCACAAATATCACCCTTATGATAACATTCATTCAAATTCGATTTACACATTGTCATTATTACAGTCATTATATACCTGTGGAATTAGTGGATACCATTCGGTGACGATGTTATCAAGGAAGTTTTCTACTTTGGACAAATCAATAAGTGCCATGCCAATTAAATCATCCTCTTCACCAGGATCGTGGTCATACACGGCTAGCTTCAGTTTGGTAATATTCAACTGCTCCATTGATATGGTGAAACGAATTACATCTTTAAATGGGAAACTTGGGTTTAAATTACCTGTAGATGATTAAGATGGAAAATTCCACGATCAACGATTCCTCATTTTTTTTTAACAGCAACAAAGGACCACTTGTTGGATAACAGTATACATCACTTCAAGGTATGCCAGTCCGTTATTACGTTCAAAATAAAAATCTTTTTGTAACAGTTATTGCGTGTAGACATAACGAGAACTACTGGCTAGTTATCAGTTTCAATGATCAATATTGAAAAATCCTTTTGGGGATGAACAGGGTGGTTCGGTAAATTTTAAATCTACAAAGAGGAAACGGATCAATATCAGTATCTGGGCAACTGCCCACCTACCCCTCCCCTAACCCAACATTAACCCTAACTTGTTATCAATTGACTGTTGTTGGGTTAGGGGAGGGGTAGGTGGACAGTTACCCAGATACTGATATTGATCCGAGGAAACTAGAATTGTGATATTCTTTGTTCATGACAACTTGAGTTATTTTTGGTATCGTTTAAAAAATAAACGAGTCAATCATCAGTTATATATTTTAAAAAGTCATCTTAAGCGTTCATGTTCAGGATTAGCCAAGCAACAATAAACGACAAAATTCTAATCTTTACACAAGATGTGTGAACAGATCCATATCCGTGACTGTTGGATGGTCCGAGAACTTACATTGAAAATATTTACGATGAAAAAGCTTGTAAGCACAAATAAAATTACAAGAATTAATAAAGTAAGTAAATGTAAGGAACGTATACAAAAGTTGATAATCTAGAGGGGCTATTTCCTTTGCAGAGAGTGCAGAGCTAGTAAACACCTTCAGCAGAGACAAATATTGGCCTCACTTAAGTCCTTATCGTGAAGTTTTATTATTTCATGAGAGCCTTACCGTTTACAGTAGATGTCGTTTTAGTCCCCTCATTATTCCAATCAGGAATAATCGATACCAAAACATACGGGTCTGAGGTTTGACGTGAACGATCCTTTGGGGGAAGATTACGTCCTCTCTCGATGCGCAAGACAAATTGTGTTTGTCGCCGTTCGTACTGCAGCATGGATACCTCCAGTTCGCCATTAACAGGAGATAAAGAACTTTGATATTCCTGATGCGTAAAGAATAATCACAAAGATTATACAGGAAAAGGAAAATTCATGCAGGTCAATGCATATATCCACGACTACGACAAATGTAGTCGCGACAACGTTGTGCTAATTTGTTTTATTGGGGCTCCACGAATTTGCCCTGCAAGATAACGCAATTAGAACTCGTATGATGGGTACTCCAACTTGTCTCAACAATTTTGCAAGTAGCTGGTTGCAGTCAGCGCCTCGACATCACACGGCAGAATTTAAACTACGTGCAAAGTAAATTTACTACAGCATGCCAAAATTTGTATCAATAGAAATACATGTACTATACTGGCTTTAAGCATCATCAGGATAAGTTTAGCGCGTACTTGAATGATTAATTTGTGTTGGCAGCAGATTAAAAGCCATCTATCTAGCAATTACCCACCTCTGGATGATTTTGTTCACGGGAGTGACAGCGTAATGATTTCTTAAAGGTAAAATTTTTAGCCACAATCTCTGAGGATTGCATCGACAAAATCTGGAACTGCCAATTAGTACTAAAAACTTCATATCATATCCCTCCATGTGTTGATTAGTTTTTAAGAGAGGGAAATGAACGAACAGGCTTGTAATAGATTAGAGATGATGGCTTGTTACCTCAAATATAGATGAGCCACGCGTTAGAACAAGTCTTGTGTTATTTAATGTCATATTTGTGTCAGCCAACGAAAACTTGGAACTGTTCAAAGCGTGTAATTCGTTCTCCAGAAGATTCTATAATAGCAGATCAAATCATGTAAAGAGAAACATCCTAGGTAGATATAGCATGGTAGATACCTTGTAATTGGTTTATTGCCGACTGATGCGAGCCAAATACGTTTTATACAAAGAATTTGAAGCCTTATCCGGCTGGATCTTGATTTACGCATTTGTACAATTAATTCAAGTGAAGTGCGTAGAGTCTTTAATCTACCTGAAGTTTAACTCACAGAAGGAGCTTATACTACCAGGTGTAATGCATCACCCCTCAAAGTGCTTAGTTTGCAACACCCCGTCTTTCTTTGGAATAGGCGGACAAAAAACCTCGGCATCAGGGGCTTCTCTTTGTGTGTGATAACAGATAACGAAACAGAGAAGGGAGGAAGGCAGCCTTTGACTTTCAAAGAGACTTGCCTCGATTTAGATTTTATCTTTCACCAAGTAATTATCCTGTCTTTACTTTTCATGTAACGATGTACTGCACAATAAATAAGAAAGAGAGAAAGCGTAGCAGCTGCATTACCAAGACAAACATACCTTTGCCTCCGTTAGAGTGGCATGCATTTCGCCAGAATAATTATAAACCTTTTCTATCGTTTCCTTGAAGGTTGCATGTGATTGATTCCAGCTCTCCTGGATCTGTATGTAATTAGCTGCTTTCTCTTGCACTGAGATTTCAAGTTTTTGAGCATGAAACAGCTTGGACATGACCTGATACATATGAAATATATCGATTTTCTGGATGTAGAACGGCAAACCTTACAGGGTGTAGTGTATTGGGTTATATTGCGTTTCACAGCGTTACATGGCATTATCATTATAAGGAAACTTCCTTTCTTAATCGTGTCGTAAATCTTATTTCCTAAGTAAAAGTAAAATAAATAATTACCGGTATTGTATGGTAGATATAGTATCTTGAACATTAGATATAAGACAGTTGATTTAGAGTAATGAGAGGAATCACTTATGAATATTCCACACATGGGACATAGATAATGAAATTCAGATGTAAGATTAAACTAAGTAGCTGAAAGAGCAGAAATTAGAGAAGTTGTAGTATTTCATGAAATTGAGGAACACTGAGGTTGAAGCATTGGACGAAACTCTAAATACTGTGATTTCACTGGTATGGATAAGACTCTTTCATAAATTTCTGAGATGAAGACACTGAGATGAAAAAACCTAATTATTACGGTAAGTCAAGGGTAAATTTGAGTCAAACAATGTATTTTTTAAATACTTGGAACAATAGCAAGCTGGCAAAAGTACCTGCTGACCCCTGTTTTCCCTCAGGTAGCCAACACTGGTTAAAAATATGAGTTACCGAGCCAAGTTGAGCGGGGATTACTACTAGTAAGGTTGCATACCTGTTCCAATGTTTGTTCGGCAAGAACAGACGTGTTTTCAGCCATCCATAATTTTTGACTTATATCCTGGGAATATTGACTGAAGTTCCTATTCATTGTTTGGCGTAAAGCTTCAGTTGAGTGTCTCTGGAATTTTAATGCAGCAACATGGTGTTCTTCGAGAGCATTTCGCACGTCCTCAATGATGGTATCCACAGCTGAAAGAGAATTGCCGGCATGTTTTTGCTGTATTTTACGTATAACGTATGCTCGGTCGGAAAATTGCTTTGAAACGAAGTTTTGTCTCTGCTGACCGGCGGAACAGTGTCTAATAGAAGTTAGTGGAAAGGTTGGGTCACTGTCCCGTTGTAATCAGTTTCTTCAGTTCGATGAGACTCGTAAGCTTGGAAAGGAAACCCGTCTCGAAGAAAGAATGCCAGATTTTAAATCTCGGCTACTCTGCAGTTATCACCATACATAGAATAGGCTTTGGGAGTAAATATTGAGAAAGAATAGGAAGCTGGTGCGTCTAAGGTAGTGCTTCCTTCATAGAAACATCTCCGCAGAATTTCATCCAATGATCTACTCTGACCGCCGAAGACCTGCTTCTAATGACTTATTTAGAGTTGATAGATGAGAGCAATAAAGCAGGGTGGGGTCCAGGGTGGCCAAGTGAGATCAAAAGCTACGCATTAGGAGACAGTGCATTGGACAATAACATTCTCACTTGAGCCTGGCGTGCAGCCACTCATTTTCCCCCTTAATCTCAAAGGCCATCCGAACTGGAGGGTATTACTCTGCGTTGGGTTTTTGATTAAAATGATTCTTTAACGCTTTCTCGACATCGAGTAACTAGCTTTTGAAAGGCCCTTTCCCAGAACAGTTCACGAATGGAGTATGGTTCAACTCAGCTAAAACCAGCCAGCTGATTATTCTTGCGAGAGTTACTGTACTTTTACAGATGCTAGTACACTCACATGTAAGGTATGTCTTTGCAGATAATGTTGCATTCTTTTCATAGATGATATTCACCAGAGTATTAGTGGAATTAGCTCCAGCTTCTTTTGAAAAACTGCGTAGATCTTGAGCCTATAGATTAAAAAAGATAAAGGATACGATCTCTATATCTAAATGCCATATTTCAACGCAGTGCCACACAGTTTGAAGAACTGAATTATTTTTTTTCTCTTTGCACGACGAAGAAAATCTCATCTTAATGGGTACAAGAACAAAGTAATTATCGTCATCGTCGTATAATCTAATTCGTCCTCATTCTCGTCCTCGTTCTTGTTGTTTTCCCCGTCCTCATCACTGTCTTCGTTCTTGTCACTGTAATAGTCCTCGTCAATGTTCTCGTCCTCGTTCCTGTCGCTGTCTTCGTCCATGTTCTCGACACCGTATTACTTCTCGTCAATGTTTTAGTCCGCGCCCTTGTCTTTCGTCACCGTACTGATGGTCGTCCAAATTTTCGTCCTCCTCCCAGTACTCTTCCCCGTCGCCATCTATGTCCCTGACTTCGTCACTGTACTAGTCCTCGTGCATGTTTTCGTCTTCTTCACCGCTCCGTCACTGTTCAAGTCCTATTTGTTGTCCTAAACCCCGTCTTCGTCACCGTACTAGTTTCAGTCTATCTCCCCGTCTTCTCTGACCGTCTTGTCACCTTCCTCATCACTGTCTTTGTCACCGTCACCGTCCTCGTCCTAGTTGTCATTATTACCATCGTTGCCTCTGGCCGCTTTTTAAACCACAGATAAAATATCATATCCTTACCCTGGTGGAAAGACTTAGCAGACTGTTATTAGCTTCAGGAAGGTCAGAAGTCATGACATTTTGATATACTATATTTCCTGCGGATATCCGAGCGTAGAACTGCTCTCTTTCGGTCTGAAATAGTATAAGCATATCTTGTGGGTAATACAGACAAAACCCTATGAATACAAAGGAAAAGGGATAGATAGAGAGGGTAACATGATAAGATTTCCACATATCCGCAACGATGCGTTTTTAATTGTTTTGCATAACATAAAAGTCTACCTGACAATGTTTTCTTTTTTTATATTAGGTAAATGAACAAGACTCAAAACCTTTTATGACTTCGCTATCGAATTGTTGGCTAGATATGCTAAACAAAACGAAATGTGCGTGGAATATATGCAAAGGTAGGTCGTATAATTAGATCAATTGGTGTGGAACATCACCAACCTTAGTTCGCTGTAGTGAACGAGACACATCTACCATTGGATTATTGAAGTTTGCAAAGTCTTTCAGCTGCATAACCTCAACACTTGTTTCATTCACGACGTATGAATTGTTCTCAATCGACTGCCGTAAATTCTGTATGCACATGGAGCATGCTGGATGGGAATCGAGCAAATAAGTCGAAATTTTAGTTTCTCATCTAGAAGCATCAATTATCTAAACGCCAGCCGAACTAACACTGTCGTAATGCCAGGCAGCAACTTGATTTACCCAACACATCGTGAAATCTCAATGAATACAGCCATCATCTATCACCACGATAAGGTCCATTTTACAAGGTACATTTCTTTCCACGTGACCATACCATGCAGCTGAAGTTGCTCACGTTGCTTAAAAACGCAGAAACTACATAAAACTTTCGTCATTGAAATATTCTGTGGTTATGACAAGGCTTTCATATGGGTTTTTAAGCGTTTCAAAGTTTGTGTACATCTGTCATAAAGTTGTTGTATTCGTGTTTGAATCTGATTGCATGTGACGCCCTAAGCAAACGTAGTGCTATGTAAATAAGCCCTAATACAATTTCAACTAGAATGTAAATCGTACCTTCACATCCCTTATCCGATAGGTTGGTGAAGAATTTCATACACTGATCACATGACCTTCCCGTGACACCCAGCTTGCACTGACATTGTCCAATGGTATCATTTGTACACACTGTGCCAAGAATTGTACCCGTTGTGTTGCAGTCGCATTCTAGGAATATCAGAAAAGAGGGCGGAAAAAAGTCTTTAAGCTATCAAATGGTAATCACAAGGCAAGATTAGTATTAAAGAATAAGATACCATGATGGCGCTCGGAAAGGATTAGTGAGGTTTTATGCATTATGATGCGAAGGGTCTTGTTTTGAGTATAAAAAATACCCAGGTAAGGTTTATCCTCGGTTTATTTCGTTGCTAGTGCTAAGAAGAGTTTTTCAGGCTTGTGTTTGTAGGGAAAATATGCCAACGGTGATTGATTTATGAACCTGAGCTGTACCTCCACACGGTCCTTCTGGAAGTCCATAGAACCCGGATGCACACTGCGTGCATTTCAGTCCTGTCGCATTGGCTTGACATGGGCACTGTCCACTCGAATTGCACTGCAAGCTCGCTGATCCAAACGAGTTACATCGACAGTCTTCACAACCCGTGGGACCAAAGTTAAACGTGTTGGTCTGTCGAGTAAGGAGTGAAGAAGTGAGGTTTGTGGAAAAAGTACTCATTCACTGTAAGTCGGAAAAAAAGAGGATAACTACCTCACACAAAGTGCAATTTCTTCCAGTGACGCTTGTTTTACAGTTACATTGCCCCGTAACCCTATCACATGATTGACCCAACGAACCAATTTTGCTGCAAGCACATGCTGTGGAGGTATGGGTAAAAACACGATCGGATGAGAAGTTGCTCAAAATCACACATTCAGTTGACATTGCTCTCTAATATGGATAATAAAGTAAGATCACAAGGTCATGTCTTAACCAAACAGTTAGAAACAGTGACGATTGCAGTAAAATTAAAGTTCTCCCAACTTCAACGGCTGAAAATCACAAACGTGGTTGAGGAGATGAAATTCAATTTGTAAAAATTGGTTGGCTCGGAAAACCTTGTTTATCACCTAATGATTATTCGCATGTTTAAGAATTTAGTTTTTTTAATGACCCATACAACTTGAATGTCAAAAAGTCGTAAACGTTTTCATAAATATTTAAATTATTGCAATTTTTGTTTGGATCTTCTGTTGCTAGAATACTACCCAACGTAATGCCAGATTATGCTTACCTTCACATTGTTGAATGACTGCATTTCCAAACGTCCCGTCATCACAGTGCTGACAGTAGAAGCCAGTTGTGTTAGACTGACATTCGAGACATTCTCCAGTCCTCAGACACCTGTCTGAATTATTGTTACATTGACATGGCTCGCATGTTCGTCCTACGGTATTCTCTGGACATTCGCACTTTCCAGTTACAACGTCGCAAACTTTGTTTGGCCCATTGCAACCACAAGCTAAGACATGAAAAAAATAGTTTTTCCTCAGTGTAAAGCTTTACTTTCCGTCAACTAAGAAAAGCTAGGAAATATCAAGAAGTCCGTATGTTCATTTATGAATAACGACATACTGTCATTTGTATATCGATATAAGCTTGTCATTTCCAAGAATGACTAATAACCTTACAAGCATTCGGTACAAATATGAATCAAACGCTAAAGGCAGAGCTTACTGTCTCTTTAAAATTCAGTATGAGAGAAAAGATCCGTAAGAATCGCAGCAGGTAACTATAGTTAGACTCTAGCTTCTGAGGATAATTCAATTTTTAAAATACTTACGGGTACAACCTTCCTCCGTAAGATTATAAAATCCCGGCTTGCACCTACTGCAGTCTCGTCCTTCCACTCCCTGCTTACATGAACACTGGCCCCCATACTCCTGACAGATTGAACTGTTGGATCCCAAAGGATGGCATTCACAGGCTATGAAGTAAAATGAGGAGCCGTAATAGCACTAACCAGCGTGTAATAACAACAACAACAAGATTTACTTTTACGAATCAATGTCTTTGATTTCCTTGTCTGTAAGTTATGACAAGATCGGTGTTTGAATAGGTCGGTCAGTTCGTTTAACTGCATCGTTTCGTAAAATTCGGCCGAAAGAAAGGGAGGACTGAACAAAAGGCAGCTAACAGAAAACAAAAGGCAGTCAACAGAAAGACAAGATACAAGATAATAGTATGTAACACATAAGAACACAAGACAACCAAAAAAAAACAAAGGTTTCCTTTCTTACCTAGTGCTCCATTTAGATAATCCATGGTAACACTGAATAACCACGGTAAGCACCTTGGTTCTGTGCTAAAAGCATGTAATTATCAATGTTTTGTTGATCGTAATTGGGGACATAAAATGAAAATGCATATCTAGTGCATATCTACCTTGAAGTTCTAAATGATAAATAATGCTTTTAATGATTAATAGCCTTTTTCTCAAATACGTTTCGAAAAAGAGTTCACCCTGCGGACCTAGGAATACCAATTGCAACAACTGTGATCTAACCCGGCTGCTTCCTCACACCATTGACTCTTTTATCTTGAAACATCAATTCTTTAATGAGTTTAAGGAGAGAATTTCTGGCGAATGACATGGCACCTTCATTTGTGAGAAAGTGATTTATGGATGTTATGTATCGCATATGTTCTTACGTCATGTCATTTCCATCAACGCTACAAAGAAAATCGAACTGTGCACTTTCGTCGCCAAGTACCGTGGCTTGTTTGAACTCTTTAGGAATGGCTACAACACCTTCCTACAAGAAATGAAAAGTATATCCTTGTAAAGTAACGTGGCATATCTGGTTTAGTGAGGATCATCCATTCTTCCCCGTTGAGGACTGGACCTTTATTTTTTCGCCATACTAAAGGTATATAACCTAGTTCTAGGTTATATGCTTCCTCTAATACTCACAGACAAATATATATTACACTTCTCGTAGTTTTGATTCTCTCACTATTATGATTTCGTGACTACTTTTGTGTTTTTCGCATTTCACGTTTCTATGTAACAGAATTGTTGAATATCATGATATTGCAATATAATTCAAATAGAATAGAAGAGGGGTTAAAGCAAACTGGCTTTTTACCAGTTTTAGTTGGTCATAACGCTGCATAGTTGTTATGCTGATCATCCAGGTTCCATTTGTCAACGAAAGATAGTCAAGGTCGGGATTTATGGTTTCAAGGCAGTTGTCGCACCCTTCCGCTAATGAGGCTGAAAAGATCATCGGATCGCTAGCTCCGGAAGTGTTTTGAAATTGAAGGGCAACATTCAGTTGAGCTTTTACGCCCTCATTGGTGTATTTAACCAGAACGCGGTACTTCCCCGTTTTAGGGATTTCCAATGACACGTTAAGTACGTCCTGCAAAAGAAACATACGGAAAAATTGGTTGTAAACTTGGACAACAAAATTTACATTGAGAGAGATGAGCATAAACCTTTCTCTCGGAAAAATAATCTTCTTGATTTCCTTGGTTCATCGTCAAAGCTGAATTCCTTGCTTAGTGAATTGCCTGATTGTGACTTTTGTTTGCACATGTTTGTTTTGAGTAGAATAAGTACGTGATTTGAGTTTCTCACTGACGAATCATTCAGTTTTAGGATTGTAACAATAAATAAATAAATAAAATGTTGTATTACACTTACTGTGGGTGGTTTGTATGGATTTCGTGAGGCTTGTATAAAGTGAGTATCTGGATAGTAGAAGCCCATGGCCGTTCTTTGGAAAACAACAACGACAGGGAGTTTAAAAACCAGTTGCCCTTAAGTTTAAGAGATGGCCTTTGTCTACACATCACATGTATTGACGAGGAAACTGTTCTATGTCGTAATTACAATTTACCTAGACTGGATAACGAATAACCTGTATAAGCATATACTAAAACACTGGATAACGTTGTAGGCGCGCTCTGATTGGCTATTCAAACAATCCGAATATCCTTTGCGCAGGATTTGCGCCCGAAAATATTTGCAATGGTTGAAGAAATAAATGGGTTAACTGCCTGTTTAACTATATATACCAAAAGACCTATTCACCTCGGTGTCGTTGGGTAGCAATGGATATTTACCTCACCGCTTTGCGGCTTGATAAATATGCATCACTAGCCACCTCCACTGCGGTGAATAGTTGTTAATTATTAAAAATCCTTAACTTAGATGAACGCATCGACGGTGTTGCAGTCATTCCAGAGGGATGATGAGTGAGGTTAAAAGACTGAGTCATTTATGATCACAGTACCTGTTGCAAGATGTTCCGGTGACGTGTGGTCGGCAGTGACAGACACCTGTCGTCTTGTCACATATCGCGCCATTGGCTGTCCCGCCCACATCACAATTACATGCTACAAGAATGAGTATCGGGAAATTCAGTGTCGTTTCCAAAATACACCCTCAGCTAAGGCAGAAGGTTTATAACGTTTTACCAATTAGGATGGTTTCTTTCACTATCTGGGAATTGTCACATCTTTAGAAATACATGAAAGTTCTGGTCGGTTATTTCGTGATGTTGATCCACGGTGCATACGTAGCTTTTAAGTAAACGGCAACACTCGGAACATAAGTGAGCTTATTGAACAAAAGCTTGTAAATAGGTGAAAGGAATGAAAGTGCGTAGATATAGGTAAAAAGAATGGGATTAACAGTGGGTAGAAGCGAGAAGGAGTTACGGAACTGATGATTGCTAATAGCTAGTGATACAAGTATGCTAAAACGGACAGAACTAGCATTATTGCCGATAAACGAGTCAATTGTGACGAGGCTTTTTTCTTTGCTATTTTAAAACAGGTGCTTTTATGGCAAGTAAGCCCACTAGCATTATTAGCATTATTATATCATCTCATACTTAGACAACTACGGTGAGTGTTACTCACCTTTACAACCATTGCCATCAGAATCCTGCAAGTCATAATATCCATCTTTACACTGGCTGCAGTCCCTTAGATCAACATTTGGTTTACAGTTACACTGGCCGTAGTAGTCCTAGCCGTGACACAAGTGAAGATTAACAGAAAAAGTTATCAATATGTAATACACATGATTTGTACTTTTCTTTGTTCTGTTTTCGCATTTAGTTCATCTTTCATTTTCTTTGGAAGGCGCCAAGTTTAGATATTTTGAAAGGCTCATGTTTGCTACCTCAAGATTGGCGTGAAGGACCTCGAAATATTATTTTGGTACGTTGGAAAGAAAAACGAAAATTCCAATGATATAGAAAATTGTCGACCTCAGATATCTCATTTCTAGTTTTCTGAATTGGTTTAAAATATACTTTCTGTTTGGAACACTAACCCTTTGACAGACACGGGATCGACCTTTCGTTCCATTCAAGTGACAACTGCAAGCTGCAAGGAAATTTCGTTGTGTTAGTCAAACGTATTCCTTGGCATAACCTAAATCTTCAGCACCAAAGGTTTGATGTTGAGTGTTAGACGCGAAATTATTTAAGCTATAACCGTCCCAGGATCTGTGAAGGAATCAACTTAATTGTGGGACTCGGGTGCCAATCTGGAAAATCGGATTTCAGGATGGAATATGTTCTAGGCACTAAAACGTTGCAAAGGTAATAGTTTTCTCACCAGTGCACCCCTGAGGGTTGTCTTGAGTCAGTCTGTAATATCCCTCCTGACAAGTGTCACACTGGCGACCTCGCACAAACTCCTTGCAGTAGCAATCGCCTGGTTGCTAAGGAATAAGCAGCCATGCACGATATAAGGAAGGTCATTTTTACTTAGGTAGATAATCCAAAGTGTTTCGTTTTTCAGCTTCCTCTTATTATCAAAGAATGTGGTCAAAAGTAGTTAGTGTACGGTGTAAGTCATAAAGAAGTTTTACAAGATATTACCTTTCCAAAATGTTTTGACAACTCGTCTTCATCCCGTACACAGTCACCAAACGACAAACTTGACACATTTGCTGTTCCATTTCTATTACAATTGCATGCTAAAGATAAAGGGGAAAGTTATGGATTATGTGACAGGTCCACTCAATACTTTCCTATTTCTCTTTAAACAATCATGAAAGTATTTTAGCTATATATATAGTTCTTCTGATACGGGACCTAATTCTACCTAAAATACACCGTATTACCAAATTATGTCGCGGTAGAAAACTTTCGTGAAGACAAGAAGGCCCCCAGGATCTTCATAATGTCCAAATTTAAGACGTAAGCAAAAAGATAAGGGAGTGGAATCGGAGGTCTGTCTGGAGATCTCGCGATACTCAATTGCACATCAACAGCGTTAAGCTATGTAAGTTTCATGTGGTACTTATAAATCTCCCTCAAGTTCATGATCGTTTATATAGCCAGCTATTTTGCTCTAGATGGCTTTTATGATAAAGTTCGGATATAATTTGCGTTGAAAGATTGAAAGAGCGTGCTCAATCAAAATACAAAGCATAGAGCTGAGCTAAGGCTGTCACGTAATATGCGAAATTGTACTTATGCCTGACCATTTCTCTAGCTTTTTTCGTTAATGAAAGTGAAATTTCGGAACAAGCGAGCCTTCTCACTCTAACCGCTTCCTGCTGATTAACTGGGCTAAGTGACTCAAGAGAGACGAAAAGAGGAAGAAAAAAAAACACCTATGACAGCATACGATGAGATGTTTAGTTCTATCATAAAAAGGCAACACTGTTTTACACGTGGTTTTGTTTTGAGTGAACAGAATCCAAAACGTCTAGTTTACAGTGTTTTTGTCAAGTTAGAAGTTGAATTAAAATGTAGAGTGAGGAAAATTTAAGAATTAAAGTTTACTCCTCAAAAACAGAATAGCAATGTGAAAATGATCTACAATTACACAGACAAAAGAAATCATCTGTAATAACAGCTCGCAAAAGAAAGATTAACTACGGGCTAGAAGTTAACTTTCTTGTTTGAATTTCTTCAAAATTTACCTGACACAACTATTACCCATAAATGGTATTTGTATAAATCAGTTTCTGCCTCTCTCAAACGACTTAAACAGCCATCTACTAAAAAATTCAAATTTTCTGTAGGATGAATTAATGAGATCGTTAAGTATCAGCGTAACTAAAAGCCAGCCTCCAAGATCTGTGAGGGGATCATTGACTTGTTGTTACAACACGTATCAGTATCAGTTGTCAATAATATTTTTGTTGTGAGATTAATAGAAGCAAGGCTTTACAAACACGTTACGAGGGAAAAACCCTACGGATCGTCATTCAGGTAATTTTAACCCAATTGTTTATTGGTCAGTTCGCTTATTGAACTGAAATGAAGTAGCTTCATGACCTCCCGCCAAAGAGCAAACTAGAGAAGCATTGAAACATATAAACGTGTCAAATCTATCTACCCAACGAAACATACTACAACGGCTGTACCACCATATATAAAATTGTAACAAATACTTATTTTAAGTATTTTACCTATTCTATTACGTGAAGAGAACGGAAGTGAAGACCAGCACGTTTTTTCATCACTGCTACACGGGCATTTGCTACCCATCCCACATGTCTCTTCGTGGCTTAGCGGGTTTAGGGCCTTAGAGACTCTTAAAGAGGTTCTCAGTCAAAGCCGAGGTCTTTCGGGATTTATTTTCTTTAATTTCGTGAACTGCAGTTTACCTGTGACGATCAAGTCGTGTTTCATGCAGATATTCTGCTCAGAAAAAGTCCCATTCAAATTACTCTGTATTTGGTTAAGTAATTTCCTTTCTCTCTCACCTTTGCAAGCGTCGGTATCTGTGTTATTCTTTCCAATTGGTCGATAAAAGTAGGCTTGACACTTTTCACAGTTAATCCCTTGCGTATTATGCTAAGAAAGAAATACAGGTGACAGGAAAGCGTCAAAGCACACAATATCTGCAGCTTTACAGAAACTAATGGGACTTAAATATTAACGGGAATCTCAAATGAGTAGCTCACTAAAAGATGAGGATAATTTTTTGGTTGCGTAAGAATATCATCTATGACTTAACTAAGCTATCGTGTTTAGAACTTAAAAACAGATGAACGGAAGTCACCATTTAGCGCGAAATTATGTTGGGATATTTTTCCGCGGAGTTATTGTGTTCCGAAAGGCGAACAGTCTTTCAAGAGTGAAGCTCGAGTAAAACTGTGAAACTCGAGGAACTGATATGATGTCCGCAATTAAATATTATGGCATATTCTCGTGCCAAATGGAGGCCGTTGTTTATCTTTCACCTATAAAATTTATTCCGCAGCGTACAGGATAAAATGCTTATAAACACCGTTTATTCATAAACGTTTGCGGCTCAAGATGCTGGCTTCTAAATATTCATTGGTAAGACTTAATGAGCAAAGGAGTTTATCTCATCTTATTGAAAAAGAGTGGGAAAATTCTCTCTGACGGTGGCAGAAGTCAGCTTTGAAAATGCGTTAATATCCCTTAGGGAATATCGCCTACTTTTGCCAGCTTTAAACTAAGAAATATTCGGTCAGCTATGGCCTCTAAACCAATGACCCACGAGCGACGAGTTTTATGGATTTTATCCAGTGCTTTTCGTGGAAATTCTTTTGCAGAGTTTAGGTAGAAAGTGTTTGACGAATTTTTCGCGAAAGGCAGTCACAGTGAGTATTGACATCACTGAATTTAGTATGGATCCAAAGTTGATCGCCACATTTTATTGGTCGCAGTCTTGTTCTATATTTCCATCAGAATAGCGAGTTTTAGTTAGACGCTAAGGATTCATCTGTCCATTTTGGCAGCTTTTCAGATGACAGTCATTTCATTTAATAACATTTCTTTGTTTCCACGACAACACTTCCTTAAGGTCATGAACTTGTGGTCTGTTAATGTTCTCTAAAGCATCATAGCAAAATAGCCATGGCTGACATATTTATTGCCGTCGCTCGTTTTACATTTTTTACTCTCATGCTCTTGCAGTGCTTTTTATTGGCTTCGTATCCAGCGCACTACGAAGATAGTGGCAACTGGTACGCAGCCTCCATATTTTACATGCCTGCTGCAGCGATTTGGTGGTTTATCAACAGCAATAATGGGGAACTTTCCCAAGTGCTTTTATTTTGGATCGTGTATGTTTGGCTGGGAATTGTACCCATGGTAGGCATCGTATTTGGTCGTATCTGTGGCAAAATCGGAAGTGAAGGATTCTGGAATGTCAGCACTTTAATAATGACTCTTTGCATAACGCCATTTCTACTTCTCCTAACACTGCATACAAGGATAGCATCAAATCAGCCGATAGTCCATGCGAATCGTGTCTGCGAATGGACAGCGAAGGCCACCATAAATGCTTTTGGTGGAATTGAGCTACTTAGTGTCCTCTTAGAAGAAAGCCAGTACAACCAGGAGATTTCGAAAGATTTCAAAAATGCAATTATTGCCTTTACTTGTCTGAGTTTCATGTGGTGGCCCTTGGGTGCGTCTTTAGACCGCGACGCCGAAAACGTGGAGGGTGACAGAACATGTTATTTATTAAGTTTTGGTATTCAAGTAGTCTTTGACATGATATTCTTTGGACTCCGTTTGGGATTATTCCAAGGATGTGGCAGAAGCGTTTCTGTTTTTATGAGCAAAAATATAATTTTTATCATCGTTTACTCGAGGCGTATTCTTAGGTGCTTCTGCGGACTGGATGACGCTTCAAATCCCACCGTAAGTGAGCCGCCCAGGGAGCAAATGGAGCCTTCGACAGAAATAAACCTACGTGCCAGCTCGTCGAACCCTTTTACGCTCAGTAGTGTTCCAAACAACTCAGGTTCCGCTCCACCGCCGCCGTACACAGCAGATCAGCAGCAAGGTCAAACCATAGAATCTTCCACATTCAATACTCCAGTTGTCAGTGAATATATGGGATCGAGAGTTATTAATGTTCGAGGATTTGACACTTTTGAAGATCGTATCCCATCTGCTCCACCTCCACCGTATGAGGCATGACCAAGTACAAACTATCCATCAATAGTACTGGCCATCAGAAATGGAACTATCTCAGATCATATCACAAGTTTGTGACTTATCATTTTCCAAAATTTATTTAGGTTTCAGCATACTTATAGTGAGGAGATAGCAATTAACTTGTAGAGGTCAAAGTTTGCTAGCCTTCTTAAAATGTGCAGAGCGGGAACTGTAGGCCTAGTTTTTGTGACGATTATACTATTTCCACATCATGACATAGTTATATAATTCCTACCGTAACCAATATTGTACTGTATTATTCCCAAGAGTTTTAATGGCCCAAAAGTCCTGTTGAGCTTATCCTGATTTTGACTAGTGTGGCTCTTATGCTGGAACATTTTAGAGTAACGTCGTACAACACTAAGTCTTGTGTGAAGTAATATCATTATGCTAAAGCGATATCTAAGTGACGAATCTGAATTCAGATTATACCAGATAATTAAGTCAAACCTCTCATAAGAGGCCATTCTTGAAAATTCCGAGGTTTTTTTCAGTTGAATTCGGTAAATAGAACCCCTTGAAAGCTTTAATTAATGTCTTGTTTCAATCATATCCAGCCTCATCTTTGACCTGAAGCATTAGTGGGTGAAAGTTATATTTATAACCTCAGGAAAGGGTTGTACTTGATGCCTTTGTCGTCTGCCAAAATTAAACATAATGATTTAATTATGGTCCAATAAGTTCTTGAGCCTAAGATCATCAACGTTGTCGATTCATTTTAAATTTTGATAAAAGAAACATTGCCGTTTATTCATTACAGTTCTATCGGTGGAAACACCAGCTTTGCTAGATTCGAGTACTGTAGTTATGTTCGAGCATTGAGAAACACACCTTGCAATTAAGGCATACTCCTCCACCCATCCTTGATCCATTGATACTTATGCTCAGGCCCAGGTCATGTACGGTTCGGTTGTATGCGCAGGTGACAGCGTGGTTGTGGCAGTTACAGGCTTGAACGAAGATAGATTTGTGAGTCATTTAGTTCAAAACATTTCGATTGGGAAGGATAACATGACTCGCATCCTCAACGACTAATTTAAATTGTATAGGGTATTAAATGTCGTGATAACGGCAGATCAAGTGATGACAGTTCAAGAATTCTGGGCATGTTTAAAAAATTAAGATAACTTAAGGTAACGGAATACTATGGAAAGTTTGGCCACAATTTTCTCCTGCAGTGGAAATCTTATTCACTTCGTTAACTGATTTCAGCTGCTTACTTACGTTCACACTTTGTATTAACGTCATTGGTCCAGGGAGCTCCACCGCCTATCTTCCAAGCGAACTGATTGAACATTGGACAACAAGTATCACAGTTGACTCCACACGTGTTACCCTTGCACTGGCAGGAGCGCAAGCCTGTTGACTGGTTGAGCGGACAATGATTGCCATCTCCGTGTCCTTTGCAGTCGCACCGACCACTCAGTTCAATTTCGCGTACAGTGTAATGATGCTGTGAAATTGGAAACTTTATTTAGCCATGCGGGCCAGTTGTTGGTAATAACGATGATAATAAGGATGAGATCAGGGCTAAGGGCTAAGTTAAGTCTAAAGTCTAAACGAGTTGGATGAGTCAAATATTTTCTGTCGTTTCTAACAATCGCGTTTGGGTGACAAATAGAACATTAAAAAGTGTATCTTGCAATATTTCGAAAGCCTTGGAGACAGGACGTTTGGCTTCCAAACTTTCCTATACGGAATTGGTACTTGTAATGGAATGTTCACAAGCTGGCATGATGTGCAAACACAAAAGTTCACTCACCCACAATGTTGCCATGGTATCAAACTTTCTAAAAAGTCCCGAAAAGGTGAATCTAACTGCAGTAGCGTTCATCCAGGCCTAAAACATAGGAGAAAGAAACGTAAGCATACGTCGCGACAAGAGAAATAAGGAAGAAGAATGTCCTATTGATTTAATTTGTATCTTACCTGAAAACCAGGCGTATAAGGGTCTGGTGTACCATCTCCTCTCTGCGGCTGATTTAAGTCAATGTATATCTGAAACAAAAAGAAAATTTACCTAGTTTTTCTGTGTCGTGAAGAGCTACACACAACAGTCACAGCTATAGCTATCCTCTTTTATCTATTCATTTATTTATTTTCATGGTTGCATATTTACATCTGTACTTTTTAACTAGTTGATTACTAACCCCTAATGTAAATCTGTGTGGCTTCTGTTCCGAGTTTATTGATGTCTATATTCATTCATTTTCTTTATCTTCATCTTTATTTCGTTCATCAAATGATTCTTATTTAAGGGAAATTATCTTCCAACGATTTCGTACTACTCTCGTGATACTGATACTCTCGTATCATAAAGGGGCCTTTAAGAAGTTACTGATATAATTATCTAACACCACCTGACATTTTACAAGGCAGCTAAGAAGGCAAACATTGTATTCGGTCATTTTTCGAGAGGGAGAGGGGTCCTAAGGCTTACTTACAGTTTCATTATATTCTGGTGGAAAATAACGGCTGTACTCCGTACACAACACTTGATCTACACTGGATATAACTCCCTGGTAGGCAGCAACACCAAACTGTGTACTACATTGGCGGACTGCAGGAGAGGTTACCAAGTAGTGCCACGGAGTAAACGTGGCACCAAAATCTGTCGACTTTTCCACCTTTATAGCTCCTGGCCTTCGATAGTTTCCAAATGTAATGTTCATATCCTGGACAAAGAATGTCTGCAGTGGAACAAAATAGGAGTTAGTTTACTTTTAAGCAACAGCTCCAGCTTTAAAATCACTGTAAATCAGTTGAAACTATATAGGGATAGCAGGGTTCGTAAAAACTTTTCTTGCCTACACCATGATTTTCTTTACCTTCTTTTGGTTATACCACCTTCACGGCTGATACTATTTTTGTATACCATCAAAACCGAAGCCATAAATATAACACCAGTCAAATGAAACCGATAGTTCAATTTGTTCATGTGTCTGTAACGGAGAATAATTTAGTCAACTGTCGTACAACTGTCTTGTTCCAAGTTTTTGACTGAATGTTTGACAGCGAGAAACAAAGATTGAGGGCCAGTATAATGTTTCCCGGCGGTCGAATATATTCTGACGTCTCAAAGATTTCTATACATTTTCGAAAGCCACGAATAAGTGTGTTTGAAAAGATTCAATGTGAGGCCAAGGATCATGCAGAATCCTATACCTTTATGAAATAACATTATTGCGGGTGTTATCGCGTAGACAATCCATAAACAAAGGTACCGACCTGGAGAACTTCAATCAGAGCGCTTTAACTACGTGTCTTTCTGACAACCAGCCCAAATTCGGCCTGTGTATCAGTTTTTCTATGGCCACTACAAAATACTTCATGACTTCTGATTATCAGTCTGTCCAGTGTTATATGTTCGCTCAGGTGGGAGTGAAATATGTCTTCCGTGTTGTTAATCAAGCAAAAGCAATAAGTCGAGGGAGCAGTTGACAAGCTCCAACATATTCGAAGATATGAAAGAGGAAATAAAGCCTTCACAGTTAGTCAACAGTGATGGCCAGTTTGAGCAAGGGTTGAAACGGTTTATGTGACTGAAGTCCTTTAGTGCCTCTACTCTCCAAAATTTAATAGAACGTTCGAGCCCACCGTACAACATCGATGAGCATATTACTTGAAAAATGTCAACGTTTCTCCGTCATCATCAAATAACTAATACTCTTGTTGTTAAATGGCTGTCTTAAACAAAAGATGAGAATGACCCATGAACTACATAGCCGGACTTTTCCCTTAAGAATCCTACTATCACAATTTATGTAAATTTTACTCGTTAGCTTATTTAAACTTAAAACTATTTATGATACCTGTTCAAAATGTATTGTAATTATTGCCAGGTCCTCTCCACCTTTCGATTGCCAATGAGTTGATAAAGAGCCATCGACCATGTTTTGCGGAGGATATGCATTTGCTGGGTCGCTGGAATTACATGTGAGTGGTATCCTGTCCTCAGCGCTCAGAAACCCTTGCTGAGTTTCAAAGAAATCTTCGGGAGGATTTCCGCACGTAAAGTTTGCTTCAGTTTGCTTCATGTAAACAGCATTGAAACTTGTCTCTGTCACCTCCAGCACAGGGGCGAGGATAATAAGAATTAACAGGGTCTTCTCCTTAAAACGATACATACTAGATACAGATGTTGATGCAGAAAACAATTTCGTCTGCCTTCTCCATTCCCATATCTAATCATACATATTCAAATCCCCTGTCTCATTAACTATACATACTTTCTCTTTAAACAGACGCGTTCGGTTAGGACGCATATTTAACACGTAGCTCTTTTTTTAGATCTGGTGCTGTAAGCCGCTGACTTGACGAGTTCTCAAGCGGATCACTTCGGCGATTCAGTTCAGCATAAGTGTGCGGTTACGAAATCGTGATGCAACACGAATTCGAATGACACAAGATAAACACAGTAAGAAAAATGCTGGGTAAACTCTACAGAGCGGTAGGCAGGGACATGGTACTATTCCTTCGCTGCCTTTCCTCCTTCTTTATCGCTTTAATTGCCCGCTAGTTATCAAAAGAACACGCAAAACGATAAAAATGTTAAATCTGTACCCATCCATCAACTCCTAATGGTAGAAAAGTACAAAGCACAACCCCGAACAGACACTCGACAAAATGGAAAGTGTTCGGAATAAAAGACTTTCGTTTCGTTTGACTGAGAGCAACTCTGCTTGAATTCATGTACATTTTCAGTCAAATTAACAGAAAGTGGCTCAGTAATTTATAGACAAGTTGCAAGAACTCTTGGAACCGAAAATAGTCAGAAGTGGTTAAACCCGTTTACATTGTCGCGGTTGATGGAACTACAAGCGCTTTCTTAACTTTTGTGGTTGACAGAATCTATTTGCATATCTTAGTACAGATTTTATTCGTCCCAGATCCTTTTAAGAGTCAGTCTCTTGTACATTGGTGGTCGTAATTGAAGACTGAGACGGGGGATCACGTTGTATTGTGTTCTCTAAACATGCTTTTATGATATAAACTTGATGAAGATCCGTCGAGAAACGGTCGACAGAAAAAAAATTCTGTTAAATAAGCTAAACCAAGAGAAGAAAGAAGAGTAATGGGAAGTACAAGAAACGCTTCCCTGCGTTTGGTACAATAAGATATACAACTCCACCACTTATTTATAAATTCATCAGTTTTAGCGTGTCAGTCCTAATTAAATAGTTTTACAACTACAATTTTTACAGCCTTTTTTACAAGCACAGCTCTAGACCACACAGGCGGCCTCCATTCGACTTACAATAACTTTTTTTAGCTCATTATTATGTTAATATCTAAAATTTCCACTCAAATACTAATTAGTCGAATCCTTGAAAAAATGTCCCTGAATTGAAGACATAATGACGAATGAAATAAATTGATTTTTTTTGGCATCGAGATGTGGAAACATTTAATGTGCATGTATCGAGGAGAATTCCAAACCGACCCCTCATTAGTAGATTAAGATGATGAATCCTTCTTGTTTCGTGTTTTCTCGACATTACTTTCATTACATCATAACTTTGATGATATTTCTAGTTTAATTATGATAACATTGAAAGAAATATTGGTATATGTAAGACAACAGATAAAAATGTTCCGATCTGAAAGAGCTAATTTGTTTTGGATTCCAGTTACCGTGGCTGCTTTCTTGTTTAACAGGCAAAACAATATATAGTGATTAGCGTGATGCCAGCACTCGGCAGAGAGAAAATACTTGTCTAGTGTCAACCCTATTTTGAAATAACCTCAGTTCTCGGCAATTATTCGCCTCTAACTCAAAATACCCGCACTTTTCCGTCTAAAAACATTTTAAAGAGATCCTGGGGTTGTCAGGCGGGTTAAGTCTGAGAATGTTGTAAATTAAACAATTTCGCAACCATCACTTCAAGACCCTTCCAAAGCCGTGGTTATTTAGAATCAGTCGCTTGTGAAAAAGTGATTTAGAAAAGACGCTAAACGAGACAAACTTATGCGAGGACATCTCATGATGCGTTTTATATTTGGCAGGAATGACAAAACTCGCAGTTGGAATTATTAAAATTTAATGACAATTAAACTTACAACCTGCAGCCTTTTGTAAACGGGACGCGAAATTTTCGAAGAAAAGAATTAACTATCGATTTTGTTTATCGTTGTTAACGAACGATTTGAAGCAAAAATAACCATGGAAATTGTTTCAAATTAGCGAGAACTGTACTTATTGGACAAAAGGCCGTGTTTAGTTGAGAACTAACAGATATATGTTATCGTCTAGAATGTAAACAAACTCGCGTGATAACCCGCCAACGCGGAGCGCGGACGCCCTGTTATTGCGCAGATTATTTTGCGCATGCTATAGTCGTATTGAGTTAGCGCGAAGCAAAGATGTCGGACGAAGACCTAAGAGGTTTTTAGCTTGATTTCTCTCGTTGTGATCGTGCGATTGCCGTAGATCCTGTCTTTAAAGAAGCCGATTGTATTTTTTATTAACATGGCTGTGTCTTGCTTGCAAATCTCTGCTCCTAGATACAAACACAGGCAAGAAGAAAGGACTCTTCTCCAGCCTCAAGCGTTCGAAGTCTAAAGGAGGACGTGGTAGGAAAAACGCCAAATCGAGATCCATGCCGCAACTACCTCAGTCTTACGTTGATATGAAGTGTCAGATAAATGGCACTGCTACTAAATCTAATGATCCATTTAATATTTCTCAATCAGCTAAAGGTGCCGAAGAAGACGGGGCTGCACCCCTGCCTTCACCAACGGAGGCTGGAGGTTTAACGGAATGTCCCGCTCAGGATGTTACCCCGGGCGCTTTGGTACGTCATCTTTGAACATTTTTAGTCGTAAAATTCCCTTTTAAAGTAGTAAACCACCGTTGACCTGACTTTCGCTAGTAAATCGCTAACAGAATACTATTGTTTTTGTTTTTATTATTGTCGAGCGCCCATTTTTCCCTTGGTCTTCCGCCTTCGAGGATTTTCAATCAAGCAGTTTGTAGGAATTTGTAATTTCTATGTTTTTTCTTCTAGGCTGGTGATGTAGCCAGAGCGGGGAAATGTTCATTCTTTGCTCTTGAAGTAGAGCTTAAGGATGGAAAAGACTTGGCAGCCCGGGACAAAACAGGTACCAGTAATTTTAATAATACAGTAGTACAATGCACGCGTGAATGTCCGCATAAATCCTTCCTAATTATTGAGTACCAAAAAATGCTAACAGTACTGTTAAGATTTAAAATTCTTATAACGAGTAAAAGCATCCATAAAAATATACTGACTGCCTCTTTCGCAGAGAATGAGACAGAAGATGGACTCGAATAAATTAAAGGAAAACTATTGTAATTTATATGCACTAAACAGGCTTCAAGTGAAAATTAATAAACAAATGGCTTATGGAACGTTTTAAGTTTTGAGAAAACTAAACTATGAACAACCAAATACTCAAATAAGAAGAGCTGTGTCTAAGTTTGATTTAAAGGCGAATAATCGAGTCCAAACGTGCCATTGCGTAGGTTGCTTGATAAACCAAAGTCATGCATTTAACCTTCGAAAATGAACCAGACACTTTGCTAATTATATTGCTATTTCATACCAGTCAGTTGCCTTTGATGAGGGTGATATTAAAACTTTGTACTAATTTTGCCCAAAAGTTTTTCTTTTAATCCACGGTTCCTTTTGAGAGTCATTCATACATATTCTGTGTGGTAATAGATAATACTTAACCTGTAGACTTGACTACTAGTCAAACCATTTACTGATGTTATTCTTAATCAAACTAGTTTTTGTTAGATTTGTTTGCAGAACTTAGAATTACCTGGAAAATTTACCAGGGTCTCTTTTAGGTTAACACCCTGTTTTGCTATTAATTATTTAATAGAATATTAATTATAGATCTCAGCTGTAAACAATAATGTCAGTTTGTCAAGGTGCAATATAAACACACCACTTGGCAAAAGGTATTGTTAACAATTCTTGGAAACTTTTTCTACATGCTGATGTTTGATGTCAGCAGGTGGCCTGTTTATTTCCAAAAACCCCTTGTATTTATGCAAAGCATTTAAAAGCAATATTAAATGTAGATGTAGCATGGGTTCAAGATATTTTTTTTTCACAAAGTTTACAAGCAATTTTAATCACAGCATGCAATCAGATACTTAAAAAAAATAAAGAGGAATGTTTCCTTTACTCATGTTTGATTATTATTTATGTATGGTATGTGCTGACTTTCCTAGCATTACTGTAGCATTTTATTTGTACAGTGATATTGAGGATATTTTATATGGTTGAAAAAAATTTACATATACTTTAACATGTAAACATGCAAATTGATAATGCTATAGTAATGTATAATTTTTATAAATAATCAACAGTTAGAACTTAACATAACCTGTTAATGACTGTATATTTAAAACACTAACTTTTCATGGAAGTTCAATTGTTCTTGGCAGGATATATTGTTCCAGAGTCGGTGGTGAATCATTGTGAAATTGATAACAATGTGCAAGCCATGTTTTCAAGATAGTTCAAATATGTATATACTTTTGCAGCAGTTAAAGCTCATTTCTCAGTTTGGCTGCTTGGCTTGCAATGAAAGAAAAGAAATTAGAATTTTTTCTTAATTCTTCTATATCCTTGAAAAATAAATTGTGATACAAGGTACTGTATCTAAATTAATACTCCTGTACCTACACTGTGAGACATGTATACATATAAACATTATAATGAGCAACCTAAGGGGTTGATAAAAGTTTTTTTCTTGTATCACTATAAGGTACAAGGTATGCCTTTTTAGAGCTCATTTGTGTCCAGTAATTACCCTCTCACTATGAAAGGAAGATTATTGCTTTGATAGAAGCTTTTATTTAAATGATTGTTTATTTGTGATCATTTTGTCAGATTCTTTTAGTGTGGAATTTCTTCATGAAAAGCCAGTTACTAAACCTATCACCAGGGCACCAGGTTTGAATAAAAGCTACAGACACTAAACATGAACATATCTATAACCTTTCATTAAAACAACTAACACACCATCTTATAAATACTATGAATAACAATTGAAATGAATGAACTTAAATTTTGACCTCTTAGCTACCAAAGAGATATACATTGACATAGCATACCAATTATGGGAATACTACAGCTATAGGTCTGTTGTTCAACTGCACAGATGAATTTGGCTGCAAACAAAATCTCATCTTGTTAACTTACTGTTATCATGTACAGTGATAAGGTTTCCAAGCAAAACATTTCCATTTATTGTCATTGTTTATGTCACTGGTGACTAAGAGGTATTTGAAATGAATAAGGTGGATTGTGATAAGCTTTAAAATTCTGGAAAATTAAAAACTTGTTTGTCAGAGGCTCTTTGGTTTTTTTTTTTTAAATTGAATGAAAATTAAATGTTTAAATAGGACTTCTTTCAACAATAAGAAAAATAAATGGTCAGATTGTCCAAATATATCTTTTTTCAAAATTAAAATGATAATAAATGAATTGATGTCTTTTTTCAAATAATTAAATTCTAAACTTTAAACAAAGGAAAAATTAAACCTCAAGAAAACTAAAATGGGTGTTAGAGTGTATTTTTTAGTGGACATTCTTAAATGAACATTTATGCATTGGGTCCTTGAAAACATTGTGTGATGTTTTGTTTTCATTTCATAAGAAGCTGCTTTTACTGATTTTATCATCATTTGTTGATTTCAGGCACCAGTGATCCTTATGTTAAATTTAAAACTGATGGGAAACAAATCTACAAAAGTAAAACTGTGCAGAAAAACTTGAACCCTCAGTGGAATGAAAAATTCTGTGTACCAATCGAAGACATCACTGTTCCCCTCATCTTGAAAGTACTTGACTTTGATCGAGTTGGAAATGATGATCCAATGGGACGAGCTGTAGTGGACTTGTCAGCAATTGAAATTGAAAAGTAAGCCATAATATTTTGAAGCAGTATTTTCAACTCAATTGTATTGTTAAAATTCCATGACTTCTACATTTCATTATCTTTGCATGTAACCAGAGATTGAGAGATGCAAGTACATGTACATGTTCGTGAAAAAAAATGCTGTCTTTTTTATCAAAGTCAAAGAAATTTGGTAGAAATGAGTCACTTAGAGGAAGCAGCACATGAAGGATTTGTCTATAAAGTAATATTTTTAAAAATTTTTGACTAAATGATCTTTAATTTTATCTGCAGACCCACAGAGATGATCCTTGAACTTGAAGATCCAGATGGAGGAAAAGAAAAGCTGGGTCAGATATGTGTTGTAATCACTGTCCAACCTAAGAACTTTGAGGACAGGCAAGAGGTAATATAAAGATATACATGGTTAATACACTGTAGTACATGTCAGAGGCTGGCAGTGAGACCTAAACCAAAATGAATTATTATTCTCTGTGTTTACATTCTTTAGTTGCCTGTGATACTGTACACTTGTACACTGTAAGTCCAAACAGAAGCCAGTTCTTGATGAATTTTTTGCAGATGTTTGAACATTTTCTGCAGTTGCTAAATGGTACTCACAATAACCACCAACTTGTGGTTCTAATTTTTGCTAATGTTATATTCATCTGCGATTTCCAAAAGGTTTCCCGGAAAGCAGCTGCAGCAAAGAAAGGTCAAGCTGCTAAAGAACCAGGCAAAGCACAATTGTGGGATGGTATTGTTTCCATCATACTTGTTGAAGGAAAAAAGATGATTCCCATGGATGATTCAGGTTTGTGGGATTGGAATGTTCTAGGGTTTTTTTGAAATAGCTGCTTCTGTGGGAAAGTAGGATGTTCCAATCTGTATCTGCAAAATTAGGGACTTCTTTTTTTATATAATATGATAGTAAAAGAAAAGTGTAAAGTAATCAGAGGACATTCTCCACAATTGAACTTAAAAATCTGTTAGACCATCAAGATTTAACCACAGAATTCTCAGATCTGTGATGCTTCATGAACATGCTGGATAGATTGACCAGTGCAAGTCTGGATTGGTGTTTTTTTCTTTTTTGTAATATTTCCATTGTGAATGGACATATGGTTACATTCATTTGACTAAAAAAAAAATGAAATGGCAAAGGATGAAAAGGTTGGAAAACAAGTTTAGTGATGCGTTCTATATTAATTTTATATCTTAACATGTTCTGAAGTAATAAACTGAGTTCCACCTTTTGGTTTTCTAGGACTCAGTGACCCATACTGCCGTTTCCGTCTTGGGAATGAGAAATACAAAACCAAAGCTTGTAAAGAAACCTTGAATCCACAATGGAAAGAGCAATTTGATTTAAAAATGTTTCCTGACTCTCCCATGATGTTGGAAGTTACAGTCTGGGACAGAGACATAAGGAAAGATGAATTCATGGGCAGGTGAGCTGAGAGTGTGTTATGTACACTCACCAAGTACACGTATCATCAGCAAACTACTTGAAATTAATTTTTTTGGTTCAAAAAATTATCATGCAGTATCACTATTCTTGTACATTAATCATCTTTCATTTTTGATTGTCAGGTGCCAAATTGATTTGTCAACCCTGGAGCGTGAAAAGTCACACAAGATTGAGGCAGCACTTGAAGATAATGCTGGAATTATAGTTATGCATCTGTCAATAACAGGACTTGATGCTCCAGGTTGTGAATCAGATTTGACTGCACACACAGAAAAGCCAGGAAGAAGAGGAGAGATTGTCAAGCAATTTCATTTAAAGAACACACCAAAGAAGATCAAAGAAATTGGATGGCTGCAGGTAAATTATTGCTAAATTGAACATTGAGATTGAGAGATAGGTGTAATCATCATAAAATATAACTGTGGATTGAGAGGCTAAGGTGTGTGGGGGTCATGTGTGGTAATTTGAGTAATACAATTACTGGTACTTACATTTATATGTACAAGGTGTAATGATGCAGTAGTTACTGGACAATTTGTCAAGGAAACCTAATAAAATACTGGGTTAGGGGGCATTTCTTCCCACTTGGAAGGAGCAATGAAACAAATAGACACTTCATCCTACCCAGACCTAGCTAAGCTCTGGCACAGCACTATGCATTGGCCTGTTTTAGAATCATACAGCATACCAGTTGTTGTAACTTCAAATTACCACTAATTGCCTATCATTTAAATATTATGTCTATTGTAATTGTATGTGGAGAAAATGTGCAAGTAAAATATTCAAATAGTTTTGTTAAATTTAATGGCTCTGAATCTTGACAGGTAAAACTTCACCGAGCTGTTGGATTGGCATCGGCAGACATTGGCGGCACTAGTGATCCATTTGCAGTGATTGAGCTGAACAACCAGAGGCTTGTTACACCAACATTGTATAAGACTCTGAATCCTGCTTGGGAGAAAATTTATGAAATGTGAGTACATGGACTTTGTTACCTAACTAGTCTGTGTAAGAAACAATGACAGATTTACACATGTTCAGTTGTAGTTAACAGGTAAGGAAAAAACTGACCTCCTTTGAACTGATACTGCTACTACTAGCTTATCAATAAAGCCCATACTCATTTTTACACAAAAATGTACCAGTCATTCCTTTTGTGATGTTTTATTTCAATCATGTTCTGTCTAATTTTTCAAAGTGAACATTTCAATTTCATAGTCAACTTTTCATTTTCTTAAAATAATTATTTGTCTGACAAAGTGTCAAATTTTACGAGGTAGAAACGAGGTTTGACTGTAGCACTGGCTGCTACGTGTAGGGCTCAGAACAGTTCTAACAAATTAATATGGTTCCAACAATTCAGATTACAACAACAGCTAAAACAGCAGCACAATCTTAATTTTCATTGTTTTCATTTTAATAGTTAGAATTGTTCTGGCCAGCCACTGCTACACCACCGTGAGGGTGCGGGGGGAAGTTTATCCAAATCTAATTACAAACACTCGTTATCTAGAATTACATTACAATAAGAAAAATGACAAAATCTTAAGTAATGAAATGTAAAAGGAAGGACAGAAAGAGACCAGACACTTGATTCGAGTATCAATGGGCTCTATCAATTACAACATTTACACTGTAGCTCTGAAACGTTGATATCAAGTTAGTGTACTTTCCACGTCTATCCTTACAGGACAGTGTTCGATATACACGATGTTCTTGACATTACTGTGTTTGACGAAGACAAGAGAGGTGCTCCTGAGTTTCTCGGTCGAGTAGTTATTCCATTACTTCAGGTAACCATAGCAACACTCATATTAGGCAGTTTTGTGTCTGTTTGTAGCTAAATGAGAAAAAATACCGCCCTTTTTAGGCGACAAATGGTTTTGAGTGACTTTTTAAGTAACTTGCCCATGTTTTAGCAATACACTATTACCGTGGAAACTACCTCTTGGAAAACTAAGTAAAAGTAAGTTAGATGATTGAAGTAAGAATGCAACTTGTCATCGTTAGTTGTTCCCTAGCCGTGCAAAATCTTTTGTTATCGTGTTCACAGTTCGGGACTTTAACTTGATAGGATTTTCTTATTGGTCGATCAGTTCAAAATGATTGGAATGGCATTCAACCTTGTGCACGGTCAGATCTAAAAAATCAACTAAATGATTTCTTTTTCCACCACTCACAATTAAATCCGAAATATTTCATCTTACCGCACTTCGAGATTCCAAAGAGTGACACTCGTTGTGTGTTTTCAAAAATTGACTGCCGCCACTTAAACTTCAACGTAGTAACCTGGCCTCATACGCGTGTCGGTGCAGAGAATTGCAGAGGTCTCCCAACTGGTAAGAACTACAACGTGCTGTTCACAAACAGTTGTTGCTTCGGTTGTCGCAGAAAAATCAAACTTGGGGGTAATTTTTGCCACTTTCGAAACAAATTCACTTGTATATAAAGGTCGTTGAAAGTCGAAAACGCACTCTGTGTCAAAAGAGGATACGTTTGTATTTTAATGGCACACAATAAAGTTGTATGGTTCGGAAGTATACTTTTTCTGGAAACAGAATATAATTTGCTTCCCTAGGTCACACCTGGTGAGAAGCGTTTGTACCAATTGAAGAACAAGAGTCTGGAGGGAAGAGCCAAAGGGCACCTTATCCTGACACTTGATGTGGAGTATAACCCTATAAGGGCCGCTGTAAGGACCGTCAATCCAAGGGAGCCTAAGGTCATGTTTGAACCAGCCAAGTTCAAGAGGGCGGTAAGGATGTGAAGTAGTTGTGCTTATTTAATACTTGCAAGTAGATTACGGGTCTGGACTTTAAATTTGTGAATTTTTATTTGCAGTTATTGCAGCGCAACATTGACCGGGTAAATAAGCTGGTTGCAAGTCTGGTTTCAACTGGAGCATTCGTTCAATCACTGTTCACGTGGCAGTACAAGTTTAGAAGTGCTTTTGCTTTTGCAGTAAGTTTTTACTTGTGCGTTCGTGTGCAATTATAATTGATCAAACAGTTTCAATCATTTTTCAATGAAAAAACAAAGCAAAAACAAAAATATTTCCAATTACGTGTACGTTGTGACAAGAGGTAAATGAGAAGGTTATAACGCGTTGGTTCGCATCAGTAAAATCGAGTCACCAATTTCAGAGCTCGGACATATGTCTGGAAGCACAGTTTCTTCCGTTTGGCTGTGCTTTGCTGTGCTGTAGGGGTACGCACTGTAAAATGTCAGAATATGGGGAGAAACATGGCGGCCTAATGGGTAGGGCGCCAAGCCACGGTGTGTGTGGAACATCTGGGTCGACACCTTGCCGCTTGTGTTGTGCCTCTCCACACCCTTAAAATTTTCAATGGATACCAGCAAAAACTGGGAGGCAAACCTGACGTAATGGTGCGGGCTACGTGTACCTACATTGAATCATCGTCCTGTTTAAAAGGAATAGCAATACTCATAGACCACTGGCTTGAAATCAAAATTTGGCGAGATCAGAGAAACCCGTATTTCGTCAGAATACTCGTTGACATCTTTTAAATTGTTTTCTGTTGCATTTTTCAGATCTACATCATGTTGTGCTTGAACTTTGACTTCTATATTATACCGCTGACTCTTCTACTTACGTTTCTGAAGCAATACGTCATGTGTATGTTACTTGCTGAGAAGAACGTAAATCCAGAAGAACAGGTTAGCTTATCCTACATTTGATTAGCGAGGGCTGGAGTGTATGCTACAGAAGCACAGTTATCTTGTTCAGTTTGTATGATAGACGACCTCTTGCACGATGTGGTGAAACATAGCCACTTGACGATTTGCTGATGGAAGGAGAAAATGAAAAGAGTTGACTAAAATACAGTTGATGTCATAAGCCCCACAAGCACGTTAACATTCCATTACATAATTGCTATGCATGGGTTTGTTTCAGTCAAATTATAAGATGCCCCCTTTACCCTCAAGGAACTAGACAGGTAGTCGCTCATCATTTTGACTGATGACCACAGCCATTATCCATCAGTAAGGCTGTCAGGAAACCATTGTTGTGAAATCTGTTGATCAATTTCAAATTTGAATGGTTGTGACAGGAAGGTGCTCCGGTGGACGAGGAAGAAGACGACGAGGAAGAAGAGGAAGAAAAAGGAAAGAAAGGGGTGAGCTGCTGGTCAATCAACTATTGGTTCTTAATTGACAGTGCTCGGTCTTTTGACGAGGCAATAACTTAAACATTTGTGGCCTTTTTTAGGATAAGGGTAAAAGTTTCAAGGAGAAGATTGCAGCACTCACATCCATCTGTCAAACTGTGCAGAATGCGTTAGATATGGTGGCCTCCAATGGAGAACGAGTGAAGAAGTAAGGAGTATAAGTGATCTGAGTACATGTGGCCGTTCATGCTTTTCTTTAAGTTAATCTAAGTCTAACCAAGCGACAGAATATCTTTTGTAAATCCCAATTTTTTTCCGTCTGTTTTTGAATAACTGTTTACGATGGGTGAGGGCTTAAACTTCTACACTTGGTATGCATCCTGCAATTTTTGCAGACATTGATTGACGGTTATAAACATTTGTTTCTCTGCAGCACGTTTAACTGGACTGTGCCGTTTTGTTCGTACTTGATGTGCATTATCTTCACACTGGGAACCATCGTACTTTATCTTGTACCTCTCAAGTTCTTGCTTCTCGCCTGGGGTAAGCTGGTGTTTTAATAACTTTCGTCCACTTAGTTAAGTATGCATTTGAATTATTGAAGGAAGTGCTAAAAATTGTCAATGGTTCTTAATGACTTCAATAACTTTGGAGACGTTCCGTGGCCTCTAGATTGTTTTAAGGAATGTTTGTATTGGGGTAGTTTCCTTTACTTTCTGTGTGCTAGTTAGAAGTTCAGCTGCAAGTTCGATGACTGTCACCATAAGAGGGGAAATTAGAGCCATGGTGCGAATTGCCGCCACCATATAGTGGTCACTAGCTATACCAAGTCTTATTATACTGATACATGTACCTTCACTTGATAAGACAAATTGAGGGGCAATTTTTGGCGGTTGTTGGTATGTTACCAGATAAGCCACCGTTTAAGAACTGAGGAGGGTTACGTCTTCGGTATTGTTTTTCTCATCACGATCATCGTGTTTCTTACCAAGGACCCTCTAAGATTTGAATTGTAGTAATAGCTTATGGGGCATGCGTGTTTGTTTTCTTCCTTAGGAATAAACAAGTTCACAAAGAAGATCCGCAAACCAAACGCCGTTGATAACAATGAACTTGCGGACTTTTTGTCCCGTATTCCTTCGGATATAGAGATTGTAAGTTTATGGAACATACTCACCAATTTCGTAATTCAACGACTTGTGAGTAGACCACTTATCTGCTTAAGAATAAAAAAGGAACAATCGATACCTTGTCAGTGGCTGCCACGTCGAATTTCATGACGTGGTCGGCTGTGTTGAGGTCGGAAACTGCTAATATTTCGGTTTCATACTTCACAGTTTCACGTTTCCAACGGCCCAACAAACAACCTCTCAGGTCCCAACCATGCGATATGTTTGTCATTCAGATGGGAGGCTTTTGTAACAACGCTTGTTAAGACCAAAGGCTAGTCCCCAGTGAACAGATATCGAACTCCCTGCTCATTCACTTCAAGCCATGTTTTTACACAGAATGAAATTTGAAACTTAATTCTTTAATTGAAAGAAAGCTTAAAAAAATGTTTGTTGGGGGTAGGCAAACATGGAAAAGCTACTAGGAAGGGGGGGGGGGGGAGATGGCAAATGACGAACTTTTCCGAGAAAATGTGTTTCTTTATTCGAATTTAATTCTTATTTACCAATGCGTTCTTTTCCCTTTGTTGACAGAAAGAGCAAAAGGTACTGAAGACAGACCCGTCTCTCAGGTTAAAGAGGATCGATGGTTAGCGCACACAGTGATACAGTATGTATCTTGCAATGAACTCGATCAGTTGTTCGACTGCTCTCGAGTGTGGTCCCTGTGCTACGAGTTGAAACTTTTGGGTTAATCTACATCGTCGTGGAGATGAGAATTTACAAGTGCTTTGAACATTTTCAGTAAAGAATTTTGCGAATTTAGCTCTATTTATTAAATTGTACAGTATTTATTACTTCTAGAGAAAAGAGAAAATTAATTGGAGAGCGAAAAGTAAGTTAAATGGCGGCTCCACAGTCACTGAATTATATTGGTCAGGCAGATAAGTAGTGTGCTGCCTTTAAAATATTTACATTGGGTTTGGATGTACAGACTGAAATAATTATAATGGTTAAAGGGCAAACTTTCGTTTTTTGCACTTCACAATTTTTGAATCAGTGAAAGTTCTTTTTCGTTTTGCTTTGTCAAACAACGTAGTTGGAAAAATAGAACTTGTTTGAATTCATTTAAATTTCAAGCATGAAGTGGGGTAGTCGGTGATAATAAATTGGTTTTTAAGACTCTCCAGCCAATTGCTGGTGTCGTGAGTCTCGTCCTTTTTTGGTTTTTGTTTCTTTTCAAATGATATAATTAGTTAGAGAACGATCTTGTTTCATTAAACTTTTTAACTTGTTAAGTATAGCGTGTAATTTTGACTACAAGGTATGGGTTTAGCAAGAAAAGATGACGCTCCGTCATTGGCACACCGTTGAGACAATCAAGCAATACTCCATGTGTGTACACCATACCATTTTCGTACCCTTTCAATCTTTTAGTGTCGTTTTGATTCCGGGTGGTACAAGGGAGTGCGTAAGTGCTGTTCGCTTTTGTCATGTTAGGTGGCAACATTCTGAAAAGTGAAGTTCTCAGTTGCCATAAAACAATTTGTTTGAACAGGTTTTGTTCACGGTTGAAAATTCTTCGATCCCATACGTCTGTAGGTCTAATAACTGAGTAATGAGTAAAGGGGTAAGTTTCTAAAGAAACTGTGGTGCTGCGTCAGTGGGAGAGTATAGCAGGTAATTTAATGTTAACAACTGAGTTGAGAACTTGAACACGGCTGACCCAGAGGTCTCTCACTGCTTCATGGGCTGCACAGGGTAGCGGCAAACTATAAAAAGAGATCTCACTGCTAAAGTCATTTTTCATGGTTGGTTTATTATATTTTACCGATTTCAACACAATACCGACTTCAATCTTCACTGAACACCCGAGAGAGAATGTGAGCACTTAAGGGAGCGCTTTAGAGATTTAAATAATTGAATAAGAAACCAGAAAAAATGGTAGCCCTTTTCCTCATTTCTTTTTAAAGATGCATTTGAAATGAAAGGGAAGGTCCATGTCCACCGTTATCTTCAAGCTGCAAACAAATTACGTTAAGAGACAGCATGAAGACACAGAATCTTTATATTGACTGCTGTGAATCTTGGTTTCAGGGTACTTTACTAACTTAAAGACTCAGATGTTGAGTCGTTGTGGTTGAAAGAACTCTTCGGCATTATGAAACTAATTTTGTTATCGCGAAAGCGCTTGAGCAAACCACGCCCTAGCTGTCGGTTTATTGGCAAAGATAATGGCTCTCTGCTGGTTTGGTTTCGCAATTCGTCACAGTTATTCGTCTCAATCTTCTGGTGTTGTGGTAGGAGCAGCTCCTGACTGTGAACCTTCCTTTCCACTGGCTTTCTTAGTTCCCGACACAATGTCATCAATCCGCAGCAAAAGCATGGCCGTCTACACAAACGAGATCAAACGAGTCTCAGTTTCATTCTAAATATCTCGGATTATCCATGTTTTTAATCTAAATTAAGTCAAGAAGATACCAAATGGTTCTCTCTTTCGTCTATTTACGACTAGGCTATGGGTGAAAATCTTAAAATGAACTCAGCATCAAATACCTCAATGGCGGTCTTGAAAGTTTGGGCTTTAACAGAATAAGTGTCCCATACGCCAAGAGTATTCATGTCCGTGATTTCACCAGTCTCGCCATTAACACCCCAGGTTGTGTTACTATCTACTGCGTGCTTTGCCTGTAAAATTCAATTAAATTCCATTCAATTTGTTTCCCAAGGAGCTCTTGTATCTTGGTGAAGCCATTATCAGGTACGTATGACGCGTCCCGCATACATGCGGCTAGAGCAAGAAGGATATAAAATTTAAAGCTCGGTAATGAAATAAGAAAGAAGTTTTTCCATCTTGTCACAAGCGTTGAAAGTCATTAGTAATATTCTACGAAGCATACCCTGAGTGCTGTGAGAGTTCTGATAGTGTTAGCTCCACAGTTCTGGATCAAAGTACGTGGAATCACTTCCAGAGCTTTGGCAACTGCTTTGTAAGGCCACTGTTGAACACCTGCCACTGACTTAGCTTTCTCTGTTAACACCTGTAGCATAAATGAAGAGTATTCAACTTAGGTCTCTTGCTACAGTAATATCGGTATATGTGTGCCCTCAAGCTGTGAAAGTAGACACAAATCGTGTGGTATAAAATTTTACTTCGAGATGAACAACATTTCTGCTGGGCAATTCAAATGTGGTATGGAGTGTAGTGGAGCACACATAAGTGTACTGGTTAGCATGGCATGATATAAGTATGGGAAGTGAATAAATGTCCATGCCACAGATGTATTCTGTGGATGTACTTACATGGGCAAGAGCCATCTCGGCAGCTCCCCCACCTGGCACCAGTCTGGGATCCAACATGACATTCCGCGCTACATTCATGGCATCATGAAGGTTACGTTCAACCTAAACACATCATGTTAATCACCATTAGTTCACTGTCAGTACTGCTGCGAAACCAATTTAGATCAAAGCTGCGCTGATTGTACCTCATTTAAGATGTCTTTACTGGCTCCTCTTAGCAAGATTGTGCAAGCCTTGGGATTCTCGCATTCAGTTACGAAACAAAAGTACCTGCCATCAAAAATAAGTTGTGCTAAGATATCTTACTTGTTCATTGTAGTGTTCTCGAAAGTCGATAAACACCAGGTTGTGTTGGCCCTCAGCACTACTTGACTAGAACTTATTTCAACATGCACGACATTTTCTAATGTAAATATGGATGACTAATTACTAAACAGAATGCTCTAAAGAACTTAGAGAGCGACAAACCCCATTTTTATCCAAACTGTACAACTTAGTACATACTACGTACTAAATATTAATGTTTGACACAAGTAAGTCTTTCAGCTGTTCATCGTATTTTCTGACATATTTTACAGTACTAATATTCATGGTTCCAGGTGCAATGTCTGTTAAATGCAGTAAATCAGAACTCTAAGTCAAAACTTACTCATCCCCGAACTTCTTAATTTCAAACAATCCAGCCCCAGTGCCTATATCTTCTTCTTTCAGTTCTTCTGTTCTGTTCACAATGGTTGCACCGCATGCGCGGGCAATACGATTGTTGTCTGTTTTCCTTATACGGCGTATTGCTGTTATTCCGTTCTTCACAAGGAAATGCTGGGCAAGATCTAAACAATAACAGGGCAAGTGATAAAAATTGTCTTTTGGGCCAAGCACATGGAGAACGTAAACAATGGTTTCTTTAACAAAACTTGGCCAAGTACGGAACCATAAGATTTAAGGCCTTCATTATGCTCACTCATTTATCATAGTATACATGTACATGAGGAATGCAGATCCTAACTACTTAACAAGACTTTTTCATCAAGACACAGAAGTCAACAGAGAGATCCTTTCAATTCCATTTAGTTTTTAGAGTGGGGTTTGCATCTCACCTGATACTCCTTTTTCTGTGAAGACAACATCAGGTTTTAAGGCTATAACATCACTACAAACTTTTTGGATATACTCCTCTTCTAGCTGAAGAATACGACTGAAAAAAAAATTTTTGCAGGAAATTATGCAATTTTTTATGGACATTTTGATATTAATGAGAAAATTTATTAGGTGCAAGACAGTGTGTTGTGTGAATGTGAAATAAAAAGGAATCAACTTACTTGAAGTCTGCTTCTTTGGATATTTCTAAGCTAGTCTGCATAAGAAAATGAATTCATGTGACAAAATCAGAATTTAATTCAATATACTCTTCTTAACAGCAACAGAGAAGCTTAATATCTTACTTCTAATACAAGAACTGAAATTGGTTCAAAAAAAGTTTATGCATCCTTCTCAACTTCTCTGGATGTAATATGGAACTGAACTGTACTAAAACAAAAAGAGTATGCAATTTCCTGCTGCAGTATATCACAATCAAGCCAGATCTATAAGGCATTCTTCATAAGATAGCTATGTGTGTATTAAATCAGGAAGGTGACCATACTTGACTCTCCCCTTTCTTGTACTCCAGAGAACAATCCAAAAGAACTATCCTAGGATTTTCTATTCTCCTGAAAGTGAGAATAACATAACAGACCAGATTACAACCAAAATTTTAAACACTTCCTAATACCCAGAAAAAAGTCAATAAGAGACATAGTCAGGACATCCATGTGAAGATGTCCAATTAATTAACAGACAGATGTTAAGATTATCTTTTGAATGCAACACACAAATTGTGTCAAAGAAGAGGTCTTCACCTTTTCATTCTTGGATGAGTAACATCTTTGTTAACCATGACCCCAGATAAAACACATGAATCTTCAAGTTCACCTCCAGGGATCTACAGTGAAAAATTGTATAAAATATGTTTGTCATCTACTGCTGAGATAATTAAAGGTCTTGGCCAAGTTAGTTGTGGATCACAACAACTATATTCAGTCCTTGACTTTTTTCGATGACTTTACATTAGGCACAAGAGTTTGGGCAAACCATTACAATTTTTTACTTCCATCTTTACTATTCAGTTCCTTACTTTTTCACACAACTTAATTAACCACGAACAAAATGTGATGTACTGGCTCCAATATGACTTGTTAGAGGATATTTACACTAAAATTAAACCATGGGTATATCCTGAATAAATAAATACTTGTACTTATGCAAAAATGAAAGAGTTTCAGAGTGTTTATTGAGCACAGAATTCTCCACCTAAATGTTAAGAGCCTGATTTCTTTTTCACTGAGATGTGGTGAATATGTTTTATTCTCAGTACTTCAAAGTATTTGCCAGCCTCTCTACTTCACAGTGAAAATCCTGAAACCCAACCTGCATTAATGTATTGTGTACCTTTTCCACTTTGGCATAGTTTTTTATGTCTATCTCTTTTGTGTCTCCTTGATCTCTTGCAATAGTTCGTACTGCATCTAAAGCTATGTTACAAGCCAAATCTCCCCTACAAAGAATGTGAACAAAGTTTAAGCTAGCACAAAATGCAACATGTACAGTGTGTAACACAATCATTCTTTCATGCATACTACAGTACTGCCTGAAACCAAATGGAAATTGTCTCCAGGTTTATGAGGAAGGCGTGTATATGTTGCACATGCTTTTCCCTATTTTGTGTTGCGACAGATGCATATACATGTAACTTAAAAGTGTCCAAATTCTTCTGTACTGTTTAGGACTAAGCTGGGGTTTTCATCTGCATAACCAAAGAGAAGCATATATGCATTTTTTCCCAAATTTGGCATCAGTGGTTTAAGCAATAATTTGTTTTGGAAATCTTATTGTCACTCCTCATGGGGCCCTTAAAGTTTACAGAAATTGTCAAATGCAAAATTTAAGGTGTTACCAC